CCCCCCTCCCAGACGGGCATTACTATCTGATATAGGTGCAGATTGGAAAAGAGTAAGTGGTGGCCAAACAAAACCATGTCATCAAACCATAAAATCCTTGACAGTTAAACTGAGTCAGGTAGGGAGATGCAGACTTCTGGGTTGGGGCCCTCGGGACTGACTCTAAGAATCAATGGCTGGAGACAATAGGTGACACGGCTCAAAATCCTTGTCAATGACAGCGCAGATGTTGCATTCAGTCTCTGTAATCTTTCATATTTCTTTTTACCATTACTCATTCTGTTTCATTCTTATACTTGTGAAACTCTATTGATTTTCTTCACTCATCTTCTTGTTTACCTTTGTGGAAGGTGGCAATTGGAACTGGTGCACTTGGGTGCTAAGTTCTATGTTGAAGCCAAACAGACAGAGACCTTCTGATTGATTGAGACACGCAAATGTCGAAAGACAAAGGTTGGCTTGTGATCATAATGAGAGAAAAATCAGCATAGTGTCGCTAAATAAGTTTCTCCTTCCTTTTGTCTTTCAGAAAGAAATGCTGACGTAACTCTACTGGAGAAAGAAGAGGATCGTTTATAGTTGGGCTTGTTATAAACGATGACGTCTAGCTCTGTACCCAAATACTTCAAGCTTTGCTTAGACAAAATGCACACATCTCTCACGCTCTCTTTGTCTTCTTACTTCTTTGGTTGTGGCTGTTGTGCTATTGTACATTACAATACATTTTCTTAACCATAATAAATCGACTTATACACGCAGGAATGGACTGTCGCTATTGTCTAAAAATGTTTATTCTGATTGATCGGTGATCCGGTAAAGAACAAGGTGAGACAAAAGATGATGAATTTAATCTCATATACTAAATCACAATATGCGTGAGAAATGATACGTTTAGAAAATCAAAACAATTGGGGATTCAGCGAAGAGACTCTTTTCAACAACGAATTTATCATCAACCTGTACAGTCGTATATGTATGGTTTTTAAGACATTATATCCGGTGTGAGAATTGAATCATAGGTGTGAATGCATAAAATAATAATAATTATTATAATAATTATTATTATATGAAGTTCAATTAAAACTAAAATGTTTGTGATTATTATCATAGTTAAATGTCAAGTGGCAAAGCAAATTAATGTCATATATAGAATATTTCATAGGATGGATAGAACTTGAAAAAGGGTGTGCAATTATAGGATTAGTAGACAAATCGACTAAAATAAAAACGTTACGTAATATTGTGTGAAATTTGATAGGATAGAATTCAACGTTTAAAAAAAGAAAGAATTGATTTAGAATGACAAGTGAAATGATACCGGGGACAGTTCAAAGTGAGAATAGTAATAGTAACAATTGCCGTAATAAGGAAGAGTATACAAATTGAATAGACAAAATGAAAAACTGGTAGATTGTTTTGATTTTCTATTTGTTACAAATAGGAATTTCCAATGAGTTAAGAAATGATACATTCATATAGTAACTCCATCACATGATAAATCACACAATTCGTGAGAGAGGATAATATACTATTTTGTGCTGGATCCCATCATAAGCAGAACGTACGTGAATATCTCATTTACGCGTCACTAGGAGGCGAGAATGTGAAGTTAAGTGTTAGTCATTTATCCGAGCAATTGAAAAACGACAGATACAGGAGACTGACAACTAACTTCGTCTATAACTAAAAGCACCTAGTGGATATGTGAACCACAAGACTGATATCAAAACGCCTTTTTAAGGTTACTTTTAAAAAACGCCCAAGGGCGTTTATTGAAATCCGCTGACGTCATTAGCTATACTTTACTTTACTTCGGCTATCTCCTACGGGAGGATGAGCCGGCTTCATGAACGTCTCGAATCATCGCTGCCCAGGCGCGGCAATTTGTAAGAGAATTCATGAAGTTTCATGGGAATTTGGTACGAGTGATGTCCCCAGAATCGCTCGGCCTTTTGTTTGAGAGTGCAGCTCTAGCCTTTACACAACCAAGTGTGACCTACAAGGCAGTAGGAGTGGAGTAAGGAGTCCACTATCCATTGGCAGCCGATGACCGGAGTTCGGTTCATACGCCTTTTTGAATGGGGCCAGACATCCAGGACATCCAACAAGCCCTTTGTCCATACGTCTGCCGGTGAGCTCCAGTGAGCTTCATACGCCAATCGTTGGAGGTTTGGAATCAGGGTTTAGCCATCTCCCCTAGACTGTCATCCAATGGACAGTCGACCCGGTGGAGAGCGCCAGGCATCCGCTTTCGCCCTCTCACTTTGGTGAGAAACACCTCCGCCACGTGAAGGCAGTGAGTAGGACTTCCTCAGGAGAGGCTATGTAAGACGCCCGGTCATATGGGAGCATTTCAAGAGGTGTGCGGAGGGGTGGCCAACCCGCAGCGCAAGGCACCCACCCCCGACCATCCTGAGGCTTTGGAGGCTATACGTTGGTTTCAGCCACCCCCACCCTTCCTGTGTCTACAAAAACAATTTATTATTACTCTTAACCACCTACCTACTTTGGTGATCGTAATCCTTATCTGATTAGATAAAGCAAGGTGGTGTTCATTATTCTTATTATTGTTAAATCCGTTTAACCACCTCGTGTATTTCAATTGGCCTTTATTTTTCGCATAGATTGACTTGACAAGTAGATGTGTCAGGGATCAGATTGTTCGATATATAATATTGCACAAATACATCACATTATTTTACAGATAATCTCCGTCTTCTAATAACACTATCTAAACTGGATACTCTTCATCAGACGAAAAAATGGACCAAGAAATAACTTCTACAACTCTTTATGAATTTAGATAAAACAAGAACAAGAGTGGTTTGCGCAGAATAAGATAGTAGCATGACCATTTCTCCCATTGGTTTCTCATCAGCTGCGTACAGCCTAAAGAAACCTGATAAAGAGCGAAGGGTGGGGTGTGTGAAGGCGCCTAGCAAACCCACTTGTAAAAAAATAAACAACACTGCCACGGAATCCTTCAAAGCTCAAGCATGTTTAAGAATAAAATCAGATCAAAATATGTCGACAGACTACAAAGAGCGAATGCATCTTCGTCAGCCAGCCATTGACAACGATGATTTCCAGTCAGGAAGTCTACACCCCTCCCTACGTCGTGGCTGGCTCGTTTAAGCTAACTGTTATGAATTCCATTGACTAATGAAGCCCTAGCCAGCTCTGTCTGCCAATCTCAATGACGATCCTATGCCAGCAGGTAAGATTGCCCGTCGGTCGAGGAAGGAAATGAAAACTTGGCAGGTTAGCATGCATAACATCCATGTCTTGACCATCTCAATCGAAGCAGCTGCTTGTGTCTGTTTTCGACATAGAACTTTGCACATATGTGCAGCAGTTCAAGTCGCCACACTCCATGTAACACAGAAAGCAAGAGAGAAAAGTAAAAAGAAATCCATAACAGAGACAGTACAATATAGTTTCATTGGAAATCATAGGTCACAAGGAGCGGACGCCATTGAGAACGATTTTGAGCCATATCATATTGTTTCCAACCATTGGTTTTAACCATTCTGAGGACTCCAACCAGTCAGGAAGTCTACACCTTGCTATATGACTGGCAGGCTTAAACTAACTGTTGTGGATTTCATTGACTGATGAGGTCATGTTTCAGTTTGACCACCACTGGCTAGCTCTTTTCCAGCCTGACTCTATATCAGCTAACATTGTCCGTCGCTCGAGGAAGGCGATGAGATGACTAGGCATATGTAACACATGTCCTAACCATCTAAGTCGATGTAGATTCACAGCCTCGTCGATTGATTTCCCCTGTTTGCCTAGTACTCGACCGACACCTAAACCCACTATTGCTCACCTTATTATACCACTTAACACGGGAGGGAGATAGAACGCAGGCACCTATGATCAAAGACAGCTAGCCGGCCTTTTCATGTCTTCCACTCTCAACACAACCTCCCTCGTTGTCGATTGATTTCCCCTCCTTACCTACCACCACCTAACAACATTCATTCGACGGCTAACCTCAATAAGAGAATAACAATTTCTCTAGTAAAAAAAGAAACAACTGTTTTTATTTTCACTATGTATATGTATATGATTACAGGATCGGGGAAGATAAAAAGAAGTAGGGTGGGGTGGAGGAGGTCGATAAAAGGGAAATGAACAGGGAAGGAGAGTGAAGAACTTTACACAGGGAAGGGGAAGGATACACAAAAACTGTATGCAGCGTCTGTATTATACCATAATACTACTGTGATGTTCACCAGCACCATCATCATTACATTCAAATATCACACACACAGCACTTACTACTCACCAATAACACAATAATACAATACAACGACCAACAACACCATCGACGACAACAACAACAACAGCATACTTGATGTGATAAGGACACTAGATGTGATGGAAGGAAGGAAGGCGGGAAAAAAGATACTGACACATACACACAATTGTCAACAAAATAATCAATGTCTCAGAGGGGGTGATGTGTAAAAGAATTACAAAACAAAACAAAAAAAGACATATTAGTTGTGTGTGTGTTCTGAAGTAGAGGGAGATGGAGAGAAGAAATCAAAAATGGAAAACAAAATGAATTGACAACCAAAACCAACCAACCGACCGACCACTTACCAACTGACGACAACGACCGTCCACTCCTCGTTTCTTCTGATATACAAATACATATACATACACACACATACATACATACATAGTATATACACACATACACACACAGGACAGTATATGATTGAGAAGTTGATGATGTCCTTAACTGGTCGAAACTTATTTCCTTTCTTCCATTCTTTCTTTCTATACACTACACACATAACAACACAACAATAATAATAATAACAGAGTGTTTGTCACACACACAAAGATACAAATAAATTACACATTGTACACAAGATGATGAGGGGGAGGGGAGCACGGTGTGGAATTTACACACATTACCACAACAGCATATCTGTATATGTATGTACGTGTATAGGACATATTGGCAGTATTCATGATCATCATCACATTGAACCTTGAGCAGTTGCAGTAGCAGCAGCAGGACCTGATGACGACGACGACAGAGCATAACGTAATCCAGATGAAACAACACCGGAGGTGGTACAGACATCAGGAGACGAATTTACAACAACATTAGGGATTTGAAAATTTGGTATACAACTACGAGCAACGATTGTCACAATTCTGCATAGTAGAAAGAAATATATTCAAAAAGAATAAATAAATAAATATAAGCCTTCTCAGCTCATAAGATCATTGAATAGTTTGAGAATAGCGAAAATGAATATTCAGGATTATGGGATTTCTTCCAATTTTGGGACTTTTCATAAGTGCGCACCCACCCACGAACACCCCAATCCAACCCACAAGCAACGGGACGGAAATCAGTACCTACAGATTACGAGATCTATCTTGCTGACACCATTCACATCAAGCCACTTAGCGGGGGGAATGCAATACAACTCGTGAATTACAAACTTTGTTAATTTCGTACGTCATGTAGCACTACCCTCACACAAATAAATGACTTCGATGAGCGCCACACTTTACCAGTTTAAGTCACCACACTCCACCTCACTTTACCTCGACATTATCAACTCACTCTCAATCTGGTAGCTACTAGACGGACTCTCCGAAGCTGTGCAGTGGTAAGTCTGTGATCAGTGGGGGTGTCCACCACGTCAAGGTGAAGTGTATGCCGTCGTAGGCATTTGTGTGAGAGTAGCGCTATCCGACGCACGACTTGACAAAATGTTAGAATTCAGAGGTCGTCGAGTATAGTTCTAGCTCAAAGTGACTGAATGGTCAACAAGACTGATCTCGTAACCTTAGATTCTCAACTTCAGCACTTGGTGAGGTTATGTGTGCGAACTGTTGAGAATTTTCGAACACCTGTCCAATGTGCACCCTGGCTTTTTAATGATCTCTCTAACCTAATGTTAGTTCGAGACGAAAATAATAATGAACATTTATCGATCTTAGAAAGTTAACATCAATTGGGGGAGGTGTGGGGGTGGTGTCCAGTGCATTAACAAAATCCACAACTCGTTAGGTATAATGAATTTAACACAACCTACTACTCAATCATTGACAACGTACAACTAACTTTTAGACAGCAGTTACCGGGTTCAAATCACTGTCCACTTTCACCACACTAAAATGTTTCATTAAGCGATGAAATATTTCTTTTCAGTAACTTTCAAAATCAAAATATACCAACATTAAGAGTAAATGCCTGTATATAGTGTGACTGACACTCAACTCATATATTTCTAGTTATGCAGCCCGCCCTTTTCAACATTCGATATTACTCTTTGCTTTAGATAATCTGATGTGGTTGCGTGGTGGTACAATTCCCACCTGCCACTAACACGGTCCACGATCCAATTCCCAGCCACTGCACTCTTAAAATTCTTTGATTCGATACAAGGTAGTAAACTAGTGACACAGACTCGAATCTCATAGGGGACACGAATTCCCTCAAGACTGCAGTAACGCCATGCAACGCTGTGACACGAATGCCAACAAGGGCACAAAATTCAGGTCCAGGCAAGGCTCCCCGCAGATTGTTTCTAACCATCTGATAACACCAATTCAGAGTGCACCACCATGATGGCAAGCCCCCTAGCATTACGGTTAGACTGCAAACTTGACCGAGAGAATTCAAACAAAGTAGAGAGTGACACTAGTTGCTACCACGGAAGGTCATTCGTGTGCCCGAACGGGTAAGTGATAACACTTGCAATTGCAGAACTGGGTGAAATGGGTTCAAATCTCAAAAGGCACATGACTACCTTCGAGACTGCAGATACCAAGGTCGGACGCCGAATTTCGCCAACCATATAATAACTCCTGTAACTCGCCTAGTCAGTAGTGAATCCAAGAATGAGGAAATGCTGGGGCGTGAGACTAGCAACCTCACACTACCCTGTAAAAACAGCACAAGCGCTACCGAAACACATCGCTTTCTCTAACCAGTCCAAGGGTTAGTGAACACAAACCGGTAGGTACTGCAGGTGCTCAAATGACGTTCATAGCACACATACAACACACCAAAGATAGTGTTTCCAGTTGACGATACTCAATGAGTGGTGAACTTCGTGTCCAAACACGCCGCCGGATATCAGAATTCCTCACACTATGACCCCATCGATCGTAAGCAATCATGCAGAGACAGAGATGATCGAATACACAGGGTCGCCACACATCATCAGCTCGGAGAGGCCAGGTTTCTCACAAGAAAAGAATAAGACAACGTGCACCGTAGCATTGTACACCCGACTCTTTCAAAGTCAGACTGACATCGCGACAGAGAAAGAGATAGCTCAAATTACCGTATGTCACCATAGCTTTCAAGATGTGGTTGGAATTCTTGTCCGTAGAAGTCCCACCAACACTTACACAACTACCCAGATATACGAACTTATCGGCAGAATTCAAGCATTTCACCTGCAGGAATGAATGCAGGTATAGGGTCCCTCCAATCTTGTAACAGTACTTTGCACTCAGACGGCACGAAGCACAGTACCATACTTACAGATACTGGGTAGTCTACACACTATCGTACACAGTAAGACGATATTGTCTACAGGAATGTAGTTATTATCAATACACAGCACAACAAGATATCAGAGTAAAGTTTTTTTCACTTAAAACTTACGCTTCAATCTCTGGATTACATCTAGCGAATTCATGTTCCCAAAATCGATAAGCTGGGTTACGCAATAATTCCGCACTAGTCATTAATAATCCCCATGGATGTGGCCGGTTAACAATTAATCTTTCCATGAGAACACGACTTATTTGTTCCTTTACTTGTTCCTTAGATTGTTCAGAGAATAGATACAATATGGTATAACTGAAGTAATACGTGTGCGAATTTGGATAACGAAGTTGATTTGCCATACAATTCAGCAGGAGATAACGACCTAAAGGTTACGAATAAAAAAAGGATTACATCATTTAGTAAATAAAACTAATGTGAAGAAATATGCACACACACAAAAAACCCATAGATAAAGCAAGAACAGCGGTGGTGTGTGAGGAAGAAGATGGTATCTTCATTTCGCCCTGTCAGCTTCTCATCAGGTGAGTAATCACAGCGTAAAAGTAATTATTATCATCATTTATCTGCCAATGTCATCCCAGAGGCTTCCGTACAGGTCTCTGTTCGTTAGACAGCTCTGGGACGGGATGGAAAAGGCGGAGAGGTGGTCAGTCCATGACGTGGCGTCGTGAGGTGAAGGATTTTTGTGCTAGATTAGCATCGGTTGGTGTGTCACGACTCCCTACTGGTTGGAGTCCGAGAGATAGCTCAAATCGGTAGCTCGAAACGTTATCGGATATGGCCAAGAATCGTAATCATCAATGGCGAACGTGCTGGAATTTTCTTCTTTCTTCCCTTCCCGATGACAGTTAACGAATACTGTTTGAAATTGTTAAGCATGACTGTTTTCCTTCTAGATGAAGTTTTTTATCCGTTCTCTACTTATATTTGTTTTTTTACTTTTGGTCTATGTTGTTTTATCATTATTACTGTGTAGCGCATCTTTCTTGGTGCCATATTGTACCAAGTTTTTTCTGCGTTTAAATAAATAAATTAAATAATCTGAAAACATTGAATTGAATTTTTGATTTTCCCGTCGATCGTTTGGACCGAAGTGCTCGGTCTCAGGTTGACATGTCGGCTTCTTGTGCAGATGCTTCGACGATGTCTGGGCATTTAATTAGTATACAATTGGTGGATGGTGGCTAGCAGTGGAATCCAGGGTGCGCATTTCGTCCTATTTGGGACTCGTCAGCTGGATGTACCTGCATTTCTCAGTGAGTGATGACGTTCCCACCGAAGCGCATCCTGGATTCCACTGCTAGCCACCATGCACCAATTGTATACTAATCTGAAAACATGTTCTGTGGTGCAATCAAAGGTAGACAGATAGCCGCCTCATGTGTTAACTGTAACCGTGTTTGCAGTTACATGCATCTGTGTGGTAGCAGTCACACTGGCGGACTGGGAAAAAGAAAGAAGGCGCACACACATCATCGGTTTTGTGAACATGTACCAAAATGTGTCTACGTCTCAAGGGAACAAACGCTTACAATAGTGCACTACTGACAGTCATCTCGTCCATATGGGGGGGGGGGTCATGAGATGAACGCCGATAAAATATTTTAAATTCTCCTTAGGTTCCCGAAGTAAACTCTATCAAACGATTGAAACCCGACTGATATCTGTGTTCAGAAAGAAGCAGTTATCAAGTCTTTTCTTGTCATCGTGATAACGGTGGATGTCGTCTTTAGTCTCTCTCTCTCTCCTTCAGCTGAGATTGCGTAATTTTTGCCTTTAATCCGTTCACAATAATGTACTTTTTGGTTATCCCTTATTTCTATGACTTGAGTTGTACTCACTCACCTCAAAGGTACCCAACTTATTCGTTACTCATCGACGTATCAACCTCTTGGCTTTATTGTGCAACCACCTCCTTCGTTATTGTATCGGTTCACTTACTCTTACATCACTTATATTTTATACCACTTAACAGGGAGACTGGACGGAAACACGTATGATCTTCAACTTTCAACAGGCATGTTTCCCTCACAGTCATAAAGGAGGAAAGAGAGAATTGCTGCTGCAGGGAGCACATAGGTCCTTCGGTCGGTAACCACCAACAGCTAGATATCAACGTTTACGCCAGAGTTTATGTAGGCTGACAAATGCCTGGCACACCAGCCCTTTGTATCCGTACTGAGAGGGATTATGTCAGTGGCGGTCAACATGCTGCACCACCACTTCACTCCCCCTATCTACTTTGATCTACTAAGCTAGGCGTCGGTGTGAAGTCATACGAAAATACGAAAATGAAAAAAGGTGAGAGAAAAATAAATCAAAACACACCATACCTTCATTATCAAGATTTAAAACTAGACTTTGTATGATATCCATTTGTGGAGTATGTGCAATAGTGCTCATATTCAAAGGCATTCCTTTCTCACGTAGACTACGTATCGCTGTGATACAAACATACAGCGTTAAATTTGTCATTAATTCAATATTATAATGCATGCTATCAGCGAGACCAAATGTTGCCAATTGTTGTGTAGCACGTACACCCCATAGTAGAGCAGCTAAAGCGGCACTAGAACTTCCATTTACAGTACTGGGTAAGGCGGCAGTAGCAGATCTTGTCGATCCAGTTCCTCCACTAGTTAGTGTATCACTACTACTACTACCACTAGTGTCAGACGGATTTGCTTCCCACGACTCTGATGTACCAGTCTTTCCAACTGTTTTGTTGCCTGATTGATTCGTTGTGAAATGATCGTCGCTGGACTTCACTTCTTCGCCTTTATTCATAGAGTTTGTTGAGCTGCCAACATCATTGGCGGCCAGCGCTACAGCATACGCTGCAAGAGCTTGTTGATGTCTAGCCTGTTGCTGTGGATGATAGGCGAATTGAGGCGGTGGTAATGGTGGCATTATATCATCAGCACGTCTCAGCATAGTGACTAATTCACTCAACAATTTTACAGGAGCTCGTGTAGTAAGATAGGCGTCCAATTCACATCGCATTGGCTCTGGAAGTCGAGATCCAGCCTCCATACAATATCCAGTAGGATCTTCAAGTGATGCCAAGTGATCAACTGGAGGAGCCTGTTAAAAATGAAATGTATGAGGGAAAGACAATAAATGTAACAATATTACATCACACAGGGTAACAAGTTGTCAATGTCAACAGCACTCAGCATCAAAAATAAGATCCGGATTTTCAACTTCAATTTGAGATCAGTGCTACTTACTATACGGATCAGAAACATGGCGCGTAACGAAGGCCATTTCAAACTACTACTACAAACCTTCATCAACAGCTGCCTTCGCTCACGATCAGATGGTCAGCAATAGGGACCTCTGGGAGCGAACCAACCAGGAGCCGATTGTGAAACAAATAGGCAGGAAGAAATGGAGATGGATTGGCCATACTCTAAGGAAACTATCAAGTGACATCATTAGACAAGCCATCGCTCGAGTGGAACCCAAAAGGGAAGTGGTGAGTTGGTCATCCCACGGTGGGGTGACTTGGAGGAGGTCATGTGAAGAGGAGATGAAAGCATGTGAACAGACTTGGAGGCAGGTGAAAACTCTAGCAGAGAACCGAACGCAATGGAGACGTGCGACTGAAACCCTATGTTCCTCTAGGAATTAAAGGAAATAATAATAATTTGTGTTGTTGGAACTCACCTGTAAAGGATCAGCCGACGGAATGCCACGTTTCGGAAGAGCTGACAAGATAATATTACGCATTTGAATAGAGTTTGACGGGACAACATCACAGAACAATGCATAATAATCTGAGACAAAGTCAGGAAAATCATGTATTAACACCAACAGCAACCGTAAAGTTGCTTTGTATAAACACTGAATCGGTTTTGGCATTAAAGCATTCTGCAGGAAATAACCCAAAAATTTTAGTAAATCAGTTAACAATTGAGCATACATTGCCTGATAGGCAGCACGAAGTTTCGGTGGCCCAGGAGCACAGAGAATACGTCCAACAAACCAACGATGCGCTAACATTTCAAGCCATGAGAATACAAATGCAGTCGCTTTCTCCGGTCGTAAACAGTGTAACAAATGACAAAAGATAAGAGGTAATTGTTGTTGAAGGGTGAGTGGACCCAGTGACTTCAACGATGAGGCTGCAGTTCGAGCATCACTACCACTAATATCGCTTTGTTTGCTTTTATCTGTCTCAATGTTTTGATGAATATTGCCACCATCTGAGTAGTAGTCGTAGTAGTACTACTACTAGGAGGACCAGTATCTATGCGTCCTTCATCCAGATTACCATCGGATCTTGGTGAAATACCGATTGGGAATGGAAGTATTGCTGGGAATGCGCTTGGCGATTGTAATTCCACAAACAACATAACCAACAGGCGTTCAAACGGCATAGGGTGAAATAAATCACGACGAACTTCATGCTCTTGAAGTAATGTGCCAGCGATTAGCCCCAACACTTTGTTCAACAATGCAACCTGCGTGAATATAGAAGAGAAAAATTCTGAAGGTATTCGGAAAAACATTTAAAAAATATCAATTAAAACATCGATTTATGAAGGGATTTCCGCATGTCACTGGAACGATAGCTTAGACTATACAACACAACTAGGCTTCAAGGAAAAAATTCTTCTGAATGTTTCAATCTTGTCAGTGCATACATGTGTTGGTTTGCAGGAATTTGATTGGTTACAGGATCTCTCATCAAGACTTGATATTAGTTAGAGCTGGGAGTACTGGACAGCTGTCTCGTCGGCCTACTTCAGGACTTTCACCAGCACGCACCCGCCACCACCAGGGTTCGAACCCAGCAACTTTCGATTCCAACTTCTGCTTAATCACGATATAGCGGCACCACTACTAGCCATTGGTCATCGGTGGCGAGTATTTATCTTCACACCTAACCTGTGTAAAACGACATACTACTATCTGATTAAGGTGATTAGTTGTATACCACTTGTCCTACAAACTAGTAGTGTTTGCTGACCGAAAGAAAAATGGTACAAACACCGGATGACTGTTACACCCGTTTCAGATCGAGTTCATAAGAGGTAGTGTGTACCCACCCACGCACCTACAGCCTAACTCAGTTCACAGTGCTGAATTACAAATCGAAACTGTGGTTAAATGCAGAAGAGCCATCTGGGGGTTGTTGACTCGCATACTTCCGGGTGGGGAGGGGGGTAGGACATGCAAGCAAATTTCCCCCTAAATATCAAAAAGTCCATTAAAAACAGACAAGATATGAAATGAAGCACAGCATCTTACCTTAGCATTAGGATATTCCCCTTGAGGTGTTTCGCCTAACTGACTAACAATGATAGTGACTAGACGAGCATAAGCATCTAACTCCACGTAGGCGGCAACACGATTAATAGCTGGATTGGCTGCTCCGTTGGCAGTACTACCGTTACCAGTAGCAGCACTACCGTTAGGTATTTGAGCGTGTTGTTGATGTTGGTGTTGTTGCTGTTGTTCTTGCAATTTCAACTGTTTCAAGGCTCTTTCAATCACAAATATAGTAGCTAATCGTAAAAATCGAGTAGAATTATGAATATTGGGTAGTACACCAATTTGTGTCAGTTGGCTTATTAAAGCTTCAATAGTAGCTGGATCACGTTGTTTAGGACTCTGGTAGATTTCAATCCAATTTCTCATGATCAGTTCAACTTTCTCCTAATTGAAAAAGAAAAATCAATATGGAAGATAAAACAATCTGAAAGAATTATGACCATGTGTATGTGTGTTCACTTCATCATCATCAACCTGAGATGACCTTCTCAAGAGAAGAACCTTTACAGCAATGTTAAGAGTAGTGTGGTTGAGTCGGCCAATGGTCTGAAGAAGGAGGAAGGACAGTAATATCATATCCGAACCATTTTGAGCTCACCTGTTCCTGGAACCTTATGTATTTGTCTTCCGACGAGTATTCTCTCTCTCTCAATGACTTCACAAGAAAGCTATCCCGCATACTTGCAGAAAGGCAGTGGTAGGTCTACAGTCCTATAAGAAGTCTAATAAGTGAACACCTTGTCAACATACCGATCATTCCTGTCTTAACAAACTTCTACTTCAAGGTGATAAGGTACGTGTAGGAGACATTTTCATCATTTGGGAGAATAGTTATGACCTGGCCTCAATCAATCGATACAGGTATTTATACAACTGCATCCAGTAATAAAATTTACACCTGAAATGGAGCCTAAAATCTCCTCCTTTTTGATGTGGAACTAATAAGAAGACCCGATGGAATGTTAACAAGACCAGTCGGTAGGAAACCCACTAGGAACGGTCAACTAACAAGTTCCTACAGTTGGGTGGTCTGTGTTGAACGAAAACGAAATCTAATTAAATCCCTTGCTACTCGGATCCAATGCATCTGCAGTCCTGTAACTCCCTGGAAACAGAACTAGGTTTCAGAAAGAAACCATCATACGAAATTGACACCCATCAAGATTCATAGATAAGAATATCAAACCAAAAGTCCATAGGAATGAAGAATTATTTGTTCCAGAAAACAAACTTTACACGAGGCCGGATTTTAAAGAAGACTTAATCTGTGATTTCTTTAAGAGAAGAAAACATTTCGTCATCGAGAACATTCATCGCAGTAACGCTGAGAGTAGTGTTCACCGGTCTTTCATTATTCTGCAGTAGCCTTAAGGACAAGATCTCACATTTGACGACTTTTATGTGCATATATCAGTTCACCTGTTCTTGTAGAGCCAGGTACATTTAGTTATTCGACGCGTATCCTGTCCCGTAGGCTTCAAAAGAGCACTAACCCGCAATGCTACATAAGGAGCACCATAATCATCTCCTTCAAAGCGATCTGCAAAGTGAAGAATAACCACCACCTGCCAGAGACAGTACACTTTCGTCTCCCTTGAATTGAAGTCGCGGTCATTCAACTAGAGAGCCTGGAGGTGTGCGTACAGCACAAGAAAAATTTCCAACCATTTCTACTATCATGGGAACAACCATATTGTATTCCACCAACTTAGTTTTGTTTTTAATTCTTTACAACTTCTCGTGTATTTCTTCTTTCGAAGTCTTACGTAACTTCACATTTTCCCATTCGGTAAAAATTACTCATCTTATTACGTAACGCCTCACAAACTCACATCAACTCCTCTTATGTACTGAGTAATGTTGGCAACCATGACTTTATGACAACTAACCCCCCTTTTGTGACTGTAGTCTTTCTTGAAAAATTAAATGTATATAAATGCGACTGTACAGCCACCTAGTGGATGTATTACTTATTTTATTCCTTTAGGTTCCCAATGGAATATATAGAAGGCTTCAGGTTAGAGCTTAGAAGTTTCGCTACCAGTGGTGTCTTTTTTTACAGTGTGAATGGGACTGTTATAGCCTCACGTTGACTAACCTTCCTTTTGTATCGGCCTCATAAGAGTATATTGGCAGGGAAAAGAACCCCGTAGCAAGTGGGGCGTCGTGGTTAGTAAGTATTCCTACCGCTGAGCAATCGATGAATTCACCCAAAAAAGAGCCACTTCGCTGAACCCTATTTGTTTCCATTCTCTTTAGAATAGGATTATAATTTACATGAAAAATATTGAAAAGAAAATATAACTTACTTGGAGATTAGGTGGATCATCGAATTCATGCGCTTGACTGCATCCAGCATACAATGCACTGATAGTCGACGCCGCCGATGGACCACCAGCACCACTACCACCAACATTGAATAATGGTGATTGTTCCATAAGTCCCAAGTCCAACAGACCACGTAAACGTGCACACGCCAGTCGTAGCCTTAAACCAAGAGGATCTGTTAACGATGATGACAGACTATTATTATTAGCAGTAGTAGCATTATTAAGGTAGCAACACGATGACGTAGTGCCTCGAGTGTTGACCACAAATCATATTCATTGAGGACAGTGAATTCACGTTTGGTTGAAGGAGATATTGGCCCCCCGACGACACCGACACCGACACCACTGGCACCACCGCCACCGCTACCAGCACCACTACCACCTCCACTACCAGCAGTAGTGTTAGTGGAATTTGGAGGGACATTCACATTCCCAGAGGATGATGATGATGATGATGATGTAGCAGTACTGACAGGATTCGATTGAGAATTTGACGACGACGAGGTGTTAGCACGAGCATAACTCGCAGCTGCTGCAGCAGCAGCACCTAATGATGTACCAGTTGGACTAGGCAGAATAAAATGATCTAATAGATCAATGACAAAGGTAATTGCTGCTGAATGACCTTTTGATACTTCTTGAGAGAGATAGGCATCAATCTAGAATAAAATGTGATAAAATTTATAAATAAGTATAAGTGTGAATATGATATAAGAAAGGAAAGCAAAGCAAAGCAAAGGCAAAAGCAAAAACAATCAGTATATAAAGTAACGAATAATTAATTAATTAATTAACTTACTTGAGAGAAATAGATAACATGAACTCTTAAGAGTTCAGCAAATGCTTCCCAATTCCATTTAATTGGACCAAAACGATTCTCATAGGTACCAGGATTGATACCATTGTTCTCGGTGAACTAAGGGAAAAGAAGAAGAGAGAAAAAGTTATTTAATCCACAAACACCCACACCCACACAAATCCATCTTTATGAGAATAAAGAGTAGTAAAACAGTGCTCACTCTCATGAAGCATTCAGTCGATATATATATATATATATATATATATATATATATATATATATATATGACATGTGTTACGTATGCCTGACCATCGCCTTCCTCAACTGACGGGGCAATGTTAGCTGACATAGGGTCAGACTAGAAAAGAGCTAGCGGCGGTCAAAACCAAAACATGGCCTCACCAGTCAATGAAATCCACAACAGTTAGTTTAAGCCAGCCAGTCACATAGGAAGGTGTAGACTTCCTGACTGGTTGGAGTCCTCAGAATGGTTAAAACCAATGGTTGGAAACAATATGATATAGCTCAAAATCGTTCCCAATGGCTAGCGCAGATGCATCCACTCCTTGTGACTTATGATTTCCAATGAAGCTATATTGTTTTTCGTTATTACTGTTCCTCTGTCTCACACCTTTGTAGACTGTCTCTATTATGCATTTCTTCTACTTTCTTCTCTTGTTATGTGTGCTACATGGAGTGTGGTGACTTGAACTGGTGCATATCGGTGCAAAGTTCTATGTCCACAACAGACAGACAGTATGGCTAATAATTATCCAATAGGTCTTAAGTTTGAACCCCTCCATGTCTACTTAACTTAGATAGGCAACTTAGTATAATCAGTCCCTACACAAGTGTAACTGATTTAAGAGGATATAACAAACACCAGGAATTTGGGTATCCCAAATAACACGCTCGGGAATACTATCGAGTCTGACTAGAACAAGCAGGACGTTGGTAAATTTTGTCTATCTCGATGTGTTCAAGTCAAGGAAACAATCAACACCATACTGATACAAGTAGCCTAGAGGGTGCGAAAACACCCAAAACAACGAGTCACGTTGAAGATGGTCCCAGAAGAGATGACTAATAAACACGAGGAGATTTCTACAAGCTCACTTCATTTCAAATTGAAGTATGCACTGAAGATGTTGCCTAGTAAGGGGGAATGAAAGCTTCGCAAATAAACAATCCAGTCAGCTCAGAGAACTCAACTACATCAAAAAGGACGTAGGTATATGTGTAACTTGTTAACACAACATCTGGAGTGAGTTACTAAGGCCATTTAGAGCTCAATTTAGAAAAATCCTTCAAAGTCCTAACAACAAGATCCAATCATCAAACACCTGTCAACGAGAGTGAGAGATCAAGTCAGCTGGGTATAAAGATGAAGGGACTAGGGAGAGATCTACAAAGTTCAAGCTAACAAAGCAGTACGCGACATCAAACGAAATTCATTCAAACTTTGTATTTTTACCATGGAGCTATCATAAACAAAATTCATTCTCTAAATAATACGATTATCTGCCTTAGTATGACATTTCTTATCCAAATTTCTTGTTTATTTTAGTTAATCTTACATTATGTTTAATGCCTATTTTGCATTCTTGACGGGAACATTATCAGGCATTTCAACTCTCTACACATAGACGAATGACTTCGTCAAAAAGAAAATCTCCTTTCGCTCTTATGCCTGATGAAGCAATTTATTCAGGAAAAGAATAATTAAAGCATCGAATTATTTCTTTTTAGTTCACAATTAACAATTGAGGATGCCTTTAAAAACTATAACAGCCAAAACGAAACATTCTACTTAGTGAACGGACTTAATGAATTCGAGAAATGGAATCAGATGATTCCGTAGGATATCTGGGAGCTATTATGTGATGGTTGGACACCAATTATGTAGAAAATTTCATCCAGATTTAATTAGTATTTAAATAATGCTTGGATAACAGGCTCATCATAAGAACGGAGAAAACAGTAAAACTGAGCGGTAATAGTCAACAGTGGAAACTCGGATTATATGACACCACAACACCACCCTGAGGAGAGGATACAATATTCACACAATCCCTGATCGCAGTGTCAATGTTCTACTACTGATTATTCTCTTAAGTTCAATGCGTCGGCAGCACAGCGGTTAGGATACTCGCCGACCATGCCATCGTCCGGGGTCCCGGCCACGGACGCACTCCTTTACCTTGCTAAACCAGAAATAATGCTGGTAAAGACGAAAGGTTGGGCACAAGGCTAGCAACCCAGTTCTGTAAAATTAAACATTGCTACAGAAACTTCAAGCCATTAGCTTGAAGCCCTATGTTCCACTGGGAAACATGAGGGAAAAAAATTCTTCAAAGTTTAGTCCATCCCACCTCGTACAACCATTCATCACACAGACCTATGGAGTAGTTACAACCGACTTTCATCTCTGGTCCCTGGGCTACATTCACAATGTGGTCAGTCAGTCACACGGGCGATTTTGTTAGTCCTTTCGATGGGACTCACACAAAATCAATAGAAAGTTCATGTAGTCACCTAGCCTAAAAAAGAGGATGAGGGCGATGAATGGGTTGGTCAAGAGACACGATGATTTACAGTTATCTCGATGGATATTTTTATACATAATTTGGTTTCACTGGTGTGTGAAGAATCCGATGAGAAATTGAGGGATACCCTGGAACATATATACCAGAAGGTTATGCCATGTAACCACTTTGATTAAACATTGCATTACTATTCTATAAACATTCTCTTAAAATGATGCGGTTTTATTTCGGATGCATATGATTGATCGATAAAGGTTCGTCAAGGTCGTTATTACGTAGTTTCGTTTTTGGGGCCTATTAGCAGGTCTCAAGACGAAGACAATCCACGTCAAATCGTGAAAGAAAAAAAATAATCGGAAAGGAATTTGTTGAAAAGCGTTCAAATCAAGACGATAAACAAACACGTACACACACACACACACACACACACACACACACAAATTTACCTGTTTCCAACCAGAGCTTGCCCAATTAGCTGCATCTGTCATATCGAGTTGAGTCTTTTCACTGGTAGATTTTAAATCACTCTCCTGATTTTGTAGGGTATCAGAGGTTGGCACACCGCCACCAGTATTTGATGACGATGATGATAAAGGTATTGAAGTCTGGTTACCGCTTCCACCATCTAGATGAATCCATGTAAATGTTACCTGAGAGAGAGAAAAAATAGGAAAGGTTAAGTTAGACAGAAAACGATGCAAATGAAGAAAGTAAAAACATTAAGCAAATATATATACATATATATATATATACATTTTTCAACTAGGCCCCCAGCACAGGACTGTACCAATCAAATATCATTCATAAATTTGTTAACAATACTTAGTCAATATCAACAAGTCAAACAGGTACGGGTGATAATTAACGCGGGAAATCAATACAAACTATTAAAACGTAGATATAGTTGCAAGTAGACTGCGGTATAATACACAATTCTAAAAAAATGAAGGATAAGCGAGAAACCATCAGTTTAACTGCAGCTGTAGAGCTCAGCTATATTTGGCGTACAATTAGACGCGTTAATCACATCGCATTTTCGAACATCATCCTGCACATAATGATTAAGAAAGGGACAAACAAGATCTAATCGTAGTTAGCTCTGTGCTTAGCACATCTTGTAGATAACGAGTATAAAGTTGATGTTATTTTATAGCATTCCTACTAATCTTAATTTTGCTTTACAAGTTTACTCCTGTTAATACTACAGCTGGAGCCATAAAAATCCACCTGAAAAACCAAACTAGTGTGTTCCAAAAAAAAACAATCCTTACGTTCATTTTCCTTACATTGGATATAATTAGATGCACGTTGTAAGGAACTGACAATTCCCCCCCCCATCCCCCACCGAAGTCTTTAAAAAATTACTTTTTTTCTAACTACTTCATCTGCAGCAAATTACAAGTCATCATTATTCAAATTACTGCAATTTCCTTTCGATTACCTGTTACGTGATCAACTTGAGCATTGACTTGTTTCCTAATCACTCTTCACTCCTCCGAAATTATGCATTATGCAATCCAATCATTATAACCATTTCTACCTTTTAATTGTGTGTATTAATTTTCTTCGATAATTTTCACTCCTAGCGCGGTTTGACATATTGATATTGACCTAATTATTGTCAAATATGCATCAGTAGCACAGTGGTAGAATGCTCGCCAACCACGCCTCGTATGGTTCGGAGCTCAGTACCCGACCACCTTACTAAGCCAAAAATAAGACTAGTAAAGAAAAGAAGAACTTGCGCATGAGGCTAGCAACCTTCCTATCCCGTAAAAACCACTACCCCTGCTAGCAACACTTCACAGCTCTAGCTTGAAGCTCTATTTTCCACTGAAGGGAACGCAAAGATACAAAAAATTTATTATCAAAAAACTTATCAGTGCCACTTGGCAGGTAAAACGCTGTGTATTATGTGTTGTTGAAAATGCTACACATATTAGAGTAGAGCAGGGGATGAGGATTTAGTTGAAAAGTATATGAATATTCACTCAATATTTTGCTTTGAAAATGTCTACCTATGAAGATTTTCTTTATATTACAACAAACGAAGAATGCAATACTTCGAAAGAAGTCTAGTATTCTCATCATCAAATCAAGTTAATAGCTTTTTATCAGAAATCAGCCAGTGGTCAAAGGAAAATAGTTTTACCTTAAATCCCTCTAAATGTCAAACAGTCAATTTCACCTTTAAGCATAAATCTGACCTAAACAAACTAATTAGCACTCCCGAGGTGTGTAAACATAGATGGCACTGAAATAGAAACCAAGTCGGAAATTAGATACCTAGGCGTCATTCTATCTACTGATCTTTCCTGGTCGTCTCATATCTTAATGATTTCTAAGAAAATATTCCGTCTTACCTTCTACATCAAGAAGTTAAGACATTCTGGAATAACCCAACCCAACCCTTACTCTTACGATTCGTTAGCTTCCGTATTCTGCCTATTATTCTCTATTGTTCCACCTTAGTTTTTCCTGGGCTATTGAAGAAAGACTATACCTTATTACGTAGGATGTTAAAGGTTGTCAGCAGGGTAAGCTACGTGCCACTTAACCAACTTGTTAATATTCTGGTTGACAGGCACATGGACTCATGTGAAAAATGGGCCAAATCCATTCTACCTATCTAACTCACACCACTCACACTCTTCATTCACAACTCTCCCCATGTATCTCTTCAGGGAAAACCAGAAGTCTATACAGAAAACTATATGCTCACACTGGAGAGTACAAAAACTCAACCATACCCTACTTAGCTCGTGTTCTGTGTGATAAAGAAAGCATTAGGCGTGATACCTATAACTTATTGAATAGTCAGTAGAACAACTGGATCACGCCTTCCCAACTCATATGATTTATATTATATCATTTTTTTGTTATGTGCTGTTACGTTTCTCTCTTCCTTACAAACTCTACTTATTTTTCTTCGTTCTTTCACACTCTGTATGTCTAGACCTTTTTCTTACCGCTTACGCCAGTAAATATGCTAGTAGTATCTACTTTTCTAACACCTTCAAACACTCTGTTTAATTTTGGCTTTGCTACCGACATGCTAATATGTTGTTATCAAAACTAACTGAGATTACCCATAGTTTATGTAGAATTTTATTTATCGTTAATGTGCAAACTGGATGCAATACTGTAGTGAATTGCTGAGAATTCCATTCTGTGTATCACAAGTACACTGTTTTGGAATAAAGCAAATTATTATTATAAAGTTAAGCTTAATAACACTCACTTGACGCGTAACCCATGCATAACCGAATGGAGATTGTTCGAAGGACAACAAATGCCGTAGAGTAAGCATATGAGCCTCTTTAAGATGTTCCATTGTCTCCAAGCCACGAGGCTGGTCACGCCAATAACTTGGTCGATAATGTTCCAGAAAACTTTGCACCATCACAGTAATCACATTGCTGGCGATATTTGTATCACGACTAGACTTGGCCAAGTGGATAGCATCGATTAGACAACGTAGCGATTGACACATTGGATCGTTTGCAGGACGTAATCTTCCAGATATAGCGACTAAATGACGCTCAATTTGTCCAATAATCTTGTCAAATAAACCTGCCAATGGGGCCTGTAGGAAAGCATTTAATAAAAATCCACTTATATACATGAAAGTCTTTTTCAAATAAATTGTATTTGTGCAACACACTTATCGAACAATGTAATCCCTGACGCAACTACTTATCAAGTCAGTTTATGCGCGAAATATAGACCAATTAAAATACACAAGGCGATAAAAAGAATTTAAAAATGATAAGAGTAATAAACACTACCTGTGGATATCCAATCAGATAAGGATTAGGATCACCTAAGTAGGTAGGTAGTTAAGGGAGGCTGATTTAAGTTTACGAATAGCTAATCACCCCAGCGAATTTAAATAAACGCCCTTGATCATTTTTAAAAGTAGTCGTGAAACCTGTTTTAACATCAATCTTTGTGGTGCACATATCGATTCGATGTGTTTTAGTTAGAGATGAAGTTGTCCCTAAGGATGGGGAAGTAAATGGGGAAGGAGTTTAAGACAGAGACTACACTTGATCATCTACAGAATTTATTATGTAGTTTGGTTTATAATTATTATTGTTCCCTTGGGTTCCCAGTGGAACATAGGGCTTCACAACTGCACGTCTCTACTTGCCACTTCTGTCTTCCTTCTGCTGTACGTTTCACCTGCATCCATGTTAGTTAGTCCATACTCTTTCAACTCCTCTTCACACGATGTCCACCATGTCACCCTTGCACTGACGTCTCACTCGCCGCTTCCCTTTCGGCCTGGTTTCACTCGAGCGATGGCCTGACGCGCGCGCGATGTCACCCAGCGGCCTCCTCAGCGAGCGAGTGTTCAATCCACCCCCACTTTCTCCTGCATATTTGTTGGTTGGCGATTGGTTCCTGTTTTGTTTGTTCCCATAGTCTCTTGTTGGAGGTGATTCTTTCCGGCCCGGCCATCTGATCTTCAGTATAGAGCCAGCGAAGACAGTTGTTGTTGATAAAGGTCTGAGTCAGCCTGTTGGAAATATTCTTTGTGACCCGCCCGCCAAGTTTCTGATCCGTATAGAAGAACTGACTGACTTGACTTTTGTTTGTATTGAAAATCCGACTGAATTTTGTTGTTGATGCTGGCTGAGTGACGAAGATTTCCAGATTGGTTTCAGTTGGTTGATGAATGTGTTTCTCGCTCGATTGACATCCACGTCCGTTCCGACTTCTTGTAGTTGAGACAATGCTCCCTAGATAAGTGAGTGAATGAAGGAACTCCTTTTTCAAATTCCTCCCGTTATTGCTCCACTCAACACCTCAAAGTGTACAAGTGAGTTTGTCACACTCCCAAACTATATACCAATTTAAGTGTGTGTGTGTGGACACTGACTCACAAGGAGGGGAAGTAACAGCACTTTGCAAGTGAGGATGGCAGAACATATCCCAGAATGCTTAGAAAAACAGATGAACTTTGGAAATTCGATCTATGAACTACAAGACTGATGCCAAAACAGCCTTTAAGACTACACTTCCAAAAATGGTCAAGGGTGTATATTGAAATACACTGAGGCCGATTAGGTAGCTATTCGTAAACTTAAACCAATGAATAAGTTCGAGAAGCAAAAGGGTTCTGGCGGACAGCTGCATAACAATCTCTACTAAGACCTACACAGATACCACCTTTTCTAAACACATTATATGAACCATTCATCAAACTGCAACTCACCTGATAAGGAGCTGATTGTTGTTGCTGTTGAGATCCAACAGTTGATGAATAAGGTGGTTTCACAAATGCTCCAGATGCACTGCCTACAACACCAGCAGCGGCAGCAGTCGGAGCAACCGCCTGTCGTTGAAGTAGGCCAGCAGAAGAAAGCTGTTGTTTCTGTGTCGCAGACAACTGAAGATATGCAGCCATAGTAGCGGCTGAATTTACAGCAGATGGAGAAATTGGTGGTTGATTCGGTGTAAGTGAATTTAAAGTTGCAGGAGGTAAAAGTGATGATGAAGTGGATGTATTAGTTCCAGGTGGACTTGAAGCAAATCCTGGGATAATGCGACCGAATTCTTCATAAACAGCCATTTCAACTGCATTTGGACCACCAGTCTATAATTTGAAAAAATAAAGAAACAATATTTGGGGATGATGCACAAGTGAAACATCATGAGACACACACACGCGCAAAATTCTCAAATACAAAGTACTTACAGAAAGGCGTAGACAATCAGGCATAGAGGATTGTTGAGGTGACAATTGATTGACAGCCTGTTCCATAAAGCGTATAGGACCAAGTTCAGTACGAAGTTTAATTTCACCTTCTAACTTTTTCTCAACTTCTTTCACAGCTTTCTCTGCAACTGACTTTTGCATATATGCTAGGCAAACATGCATACTTCGACCAACGACCAGATAGGCCAATTGTTGAACAGCTTCTTTCTCTTGACCAGTAGCCGATTGTACTTCAGCAAGAATAATATTTTTTAAACTAGTCACTAATGACATTCCCAAAGCTTCTCTTGCAGTAATCAATGACATTCCAGCAGCAAGATGTCGAATCATTTGACACGCAGCGTATAACATACGTCCAGGATCTGGATCTAGGGCGAAGTCTTTACGAACACTTGCTACAACTGTAGTCACAGTGATACGTGCACATCGTTCAAATACTGGAGTAGTCAATTCATTGATGGCTCGTATAACAGCAGGTTCAATTAAACTACGCAGTCGAGGATTTGCTTGTAGTAGCGCAAATGCAGCAGCAATTGCATTCGGATTAGTACCACTATTTCGACTACCAAGTGCTGCGTTAGTCAGCAGTTCATCCAAATTCAAACAGGCTCGAATACTACGGATATTCACATCTTCATAACGTAATAAATGTCCAGTGAACATGGTACCGCCGCCACCAGCACTACCAACGCCCATATCACCACCTATAGTTATGAAATGAGAAATTCAGTAAAGCATATTAAAGCAAAGCGGCAAACAATAACAGAATCTTTAAAATTCTTATCAAAATTAAAACTAACAATCTAAAAGGAAGCAAGTCTATCAAAAGAAGTGATTTATTACGTAACACATCAAGTTTAGTAGACATCTTATAATGCATATATGATGCGACTTTGACGTGATGATATGTGATTCAGTGTGAAACTATGAGCCATAATATATGCGTTTATGACATAGGGACTGATGTTCACTGGTGTAGACGACGTTCAACTCCCAACCAGTGATTATTATTATCATTATTTTACCTTCGGGTTCCGAGAACATAAAGCTTCAAAAACATAAGTTTCCACTTTTTCTTATTTCCTGTGGTTCTCTTTAACATAACCCAATGATTGTCCATTGTCTTTCATCTTCTCCTCCTGTTATCTTAATCTCCTCCAAGTCAGCCTCATACTCACGACCTACTCGTTGCTGCCCATTTGGATTTCACTGGAGTTATGGCCTGCAGGATTGTGAGCGATATCTCACTCGATAGTTTCCATTTCCATTTTCTCCTACATATTTGTTGCGCAATTGGCGGCTCTCGCCTGTTGGTTTGTTCCACTGAAGAGAAGGAATTCGAATCTTATTCCTTACGCTGAGTACAGAAGACTTCCACAAACTGGTTTCAGGTTGATGAAGGAGTATCTTGCCTTTCTGATTCTGGCTGACTGACTTTGACATCTTCGTCCGTTCAGTCTGCCTTTGGTTGAAGGAGGCAACCTCTGTCAAGTCTCTCCAGTTGATGGTGATTGGTGTTGGTGGCAGTTGGTTATCTACATGAACTCTGTCTTCTCTATGTTTACCTGCAATCCCGTCTTCGGTGATTGCTTCTTCAGCCAGTTTGTTGGTTTTCGCCTATAAGTCTTCAAGTTTGTGTGACACATTAGACACATGTCGGCTGAGTCTAAAGCCTTCTTATAGGTGGCCCAACGTATTTTTCTTTCTCCTCGCTCCCCACAGTTTGACGCATAATCCAGTCATCCAGAAATATCATCTGTGACAAGACAGCCTTGTCTTATTTATTTTTATTTATTTTTTTATTTTTGGTTACAGCTTGATTCCACACCGTATTTTTGGTACAAGTGTGGAATTTTCAGCGTGGATATCGGTAGCCCAAAATTCGCAGGCCAACCATAGATATCAGGTGTGCGTCGGCGTGGGCTCGAACCCTGGACCATGTGCATGGTCGGCGAGAGTCCTAACCACTGTGCCACCGACGCACAATTTTTAAAGGGAGGACCGTGAGGCCTCCCCACTGACAAAAACTACACGCCCGAGCGCACCCGATTAGGGTCCGTCGCGAGTTTCAACCCACCGAGGTGCAATGGTGAGCCTCCACCCGGGTTCAGAGCATTCTTGTTCACCCTGAACCCGGCGCCAGTATTCACTCGGTTATGGGATGAATTGAATAAAACTCGAGGACTCAACTCAATATCGTGGAATACAGGCGGCGCAGAGGGTGGAGAAAACGATAAAGTGACTAAACATGAAAACAATAAAGTCCACACATGAATTCTAAAACTATACTCAGGGAGGCCTTTGAAGAAATTTTAACAGAGAAGCCAATTGAGTAATAATAATGAGACAACAACCCACAACCCAAAAATAAACTAATGACACCTTCCAGACTGATTTTTTCTCCTCAGATAAAGTCAGACAGACAAGTTGGATGACAAACAAACAAGCACCCAATAATGAGTTAGCACTTGGATAACAGGAAGTGGTTTCTCCTCATGCCCAGCAGGCGACTTAGACAGCAGCCGATTGGAGAAATTACAATGATAGGCTAATAATTAAAAAAAATACAAAAACCATTCATTCACCATCAAAACAACACACTTACTCAATGATGAGCCAGTAGTAGCTGTCGACGACTGCCCGTTAACAACGGATTGAGGCAGAGAGTTATTGTGAGTAGGCAGGACACCTTGCGGTGTTGCAGACGACTGTTGATGAGATAGTTGAGCTTGCTGCTGTTGTTGTTGTTGTGCAGCCGCGGCCGCCACCGCAGCTGCTGCAGCAGCCACCGGTGTATGCTGAAATGCAGCCATAGCAGCATTCAACTGTTGTTGATGCTGTTGCATAGACAGAACTGAGGTTGATGGACAGGTACCCGGGGGACCACCGAATTGTTGTTTCTTGATTGCGGCTACAGCGGCAGCGAATGCTGCTGCTGTCTGACGGTTAGGATTTGCACCGGAACCGGTAGAGTTTTGAACTAAATTGGCAATATCTAAACCAGCAGCCTAGATACAGGTGAAAAAAATAAATAACTTTCAAAATAATATAAAAAAAGTAACACCATGGGAACCTCTTAATGTAAGATAATTTCTATGCATTACAGAGGATAATAATTCAATAAATGATTTGCTTAAAGATAATATTTCATTTTTACAAGACTAACAAAAGGTTAGAAGGATTAGTCATAGCACATAAGCGAGAAATCTGAGTAAATGCCGTTTCAGTTAAAAAACACTTACAACAGTCCATTGCTTGATATTTTATTTAAAACAGAAAACCTGATACAATATAGGTACCAAGAATAGGCAGAGAATGAATAAAAGACTTCATCAGGAAAGAATGCAGCTATATTTAACCAAATCCAACAGCATTCGCCGAATCACCCACTGTCAAAAATGGAATAAAGAAGGAGTTTGCTGCCCATTAGCCATCGATGATTCCGTTTCTTGGCCATATCTGATTACGTTTCGAGAAACCGACTCAAACTATCTCCAGGATCCCTATGAGTGTGTCGTGGTGTATCACTTGACGTAAACCCAACTGAAAATACCCTCTCCATTCTACGATGTCACGTCATGTGCTCGCTGACCACCCTCTCCGCTTTTTCCATCCAGTTCAAAAAAATTTGTGAACAGACTGACTGGCAGGCGCTCAGATGACATTCGTAGCGTATGTGCAACATACCAAAGACAGTGTTCCCAGATGACGACACTCAATAATTGGTAAACTCCAACGTGTCCAAACACGCTGCCGGACCTCAGAATTCCTCACACAATGATTCCATCGGTCACAAGCAACTCTACGGAGACAGCGATGGTCGAATGCACAGAGTCGCCACACATCATCAGCTCAGAGAGACCAGGGTTCACATGCGTAGGGTAAGACTGAGTGCACCGTAGCATTGTAAACCCGACCTTTCACACCCAGGCTCACGTCACGATGGCGCCAGACATGGCTCAAGTTGACACATGCGACCCTCGGCTTTATGATACGGTTGGAAATTTCGTCCATAGCAGTTCCACAAACACTCTAACAAATACCCAGATATACGGACTTATCTACAACTTCAAGCAGTTCACCTGGAAAAGTGCGTTCAGGTACAGGATCCTGCCAATCTTGTGACAGTATGTTGCACTTAGACGGTGGAAAGCGCAATACCATACTTACAGACACTGATCGCTAAATAGTCCACTGAAGAGTTCCATCGATATAGATGCGCCTTCGCTGAGCACGGAGGATAAACCCTATACGGAACTCTGAGTGCCCGCAAGCCAAAAATCTTTCACCAAACAAGTGACCAAATAGATCAAATATACACTGAGAAGGCCGTCAGTGAATGGCATCAAGCGCCGGGCCTTTGAATAGAACTCGAGTGAAAAGTGACGGGTTGAACATTCGCGGACGCCATAGAGAAGATCATCATGGAAATGAAATCATTGTGAACAGAGTTATAGACTAGGTTGAAAGTGATGACAGATAGCAACCGAAGCCCAATATTCAAGTCTGAACACAAGGATTAATAACAGTCATTATTTTTTCCCTAAGTAGTAATAGCTTTATTCTGTACAACTGACAGTGGATCCTATGACACAATTCTATCTGACGTGAAAAGCAAACCAATCCACCATTATGATACCTCTCCTTTGTCTCTTTAGAAAAATACACGACGACATTTGGTGTAACACCAATTATAAAAAGTTAGAGTACATTTTGGTGGACCAAAGAACGGTCATCACATCTATCAGGATAATCAGGTCATCGAGGAGAAGGCTTCTTCTCATGATTAGTGGAAAAATCTGAATCAGCAGGTTGTAAATGTTTCAGATATTCCCCTGAGTAAACAATACTATTAGAGGTCGTTTAAATAAAACGAATAGGAGAAATTATATGCAATATATTGATGGGGGGTTCCCTCTGTAGCTCAAGTTTAAGTGGGCCGCCAAAAATTCAACATGAGGACCTACCATTGAACCTACCGAATAAGCAGATTGTTGTTGTTGTTGATGTTGTTGTGCCGACGATAAAGACTCCATTGTAGAAACTTGTTGTTTTTGAACTAAGGAATACAGACTGGAGACTTGTTGTTTTTGTTGCTGTTGCTGGTGTTGTTGTGATGATGAGGACGATAAACTTGAGACAGATGGTCCAGTTGAGAATGTTGTTGTTGGTAGAGTCATAGCTGCTACAGACAACTCTCCTGCGGCTGTCGAAGAACTAATACCAGAATAAATTGATGATGTATCAAGACTAGTTATTCCAGAGGTAGTCGTCGTTGTGATAACAATTTGACCTGTAGTAGTTACACTTGTCCCTGTTGTTGTTGTCGTTGTAGCAATAAAGCAAAGTTCTATGTCTAGATTTGAGGAATGCGTTGGATCCCGCAGGAAATGTGCTGAGGGTATTTCATTCAGATTTAAGTCAAAAGCTCGATAGAGGATTTCGATCTGTAAATTGAAAAGTTAGAAATGAATAAAGTCGGAACCAGTTAGGAAAAAAGCATAATACCACGGCAACGCTCTGATATACCAACCCTGGTTTTCAATGCAAAAAGGAAGGGAAAGTAACTTTTTGGTCAGACTTCCACACAAACTTTAGCAACCATTGCCAGTTATTTATGTTTCTCACTTATTCAGTGTAATTCGCTAAGCACTAAGTAACATATGTTTAGAGAGATATGAGACATGTGCAAGCCTGTTGACACGCTTAAACAAGCCTTTCACAACGGCTTTAATAAACGCTGATATCATATCTCAGAAGTTGTATATTCCCGTGTGTCTGGGAAAATTCCTTGTACAATTAAAAATATTCAAGACCTATTCGGCATTTAAAAGTGGACTTCTGTGTGTTCAAAAGCATTGCACACATTCACTCGCCCCCCCACCATACGGCGCGGCCAGACTAAAAACGTTCTTATCATTATTTCGCTTCATATTGTAAGTTTATCATTCTTATTGCTATTATTCTCATTATCCTTACCTTATAATCACTCTATTATTTTTGAAATGAAAGCATTGTATTTTATACAAACACTTTACCATCTATTCACAAATTATTTACTACTTTACACACACACTTATTACGTCATCCCAACTTCCACCCCCCCTTTTATAAGCTGTTTTTCGTTTATTCCTTTCCGTTCCAAGTGGGACATAAGCGGGTTTTGGAGCTTTGAAGTTCCACTAGCAGTAGTTTTATCAGTTTCATGGGACACGTCCAACCTTCCCTATTTACCGGTCTTACACTACCGGCTTAGTGAGGTCTAGGAGTGCATCGGTAGGGGATCGAACCCCGGACCATACATACATGTGGTTGGCGAGCGTTCTAACTACCGATGAACCACCGATGCACCTCTGCCTCCTTTTTCTAATTTTATAGATAACGCCTTCATATTATGTAACATATATTTTGCAAGACAAATTTTACCAGTATCTGATTGGTCTTATGAATCCCTTAAACAGATTATGAAAATGAATCGCAGCAAAGAAATTTTACTCTCTGTTTACGTCTTTTGCTTATGACTTAATAAGGGAACTGTTCCATTCAACTAAAAAAATATGAAGACTGATATTTAAGCATAGGAGACAATATTTTTCTCTCAAGAAGTTGTGCGTGTGTTTCAGGCAGTAAGTCACATTTTTTCCACCGAAACGTTAACAGTGAACTCCACCCCACTCCCCACCAGCCAGTGGTGGCCAAACAAAAACATGGCATCAATCCATGAAATCCTTGACAGTTAAACTGAGTCAGGTAGGGAGATGCAGACTTCCGGGTTACGGGGCCCTCGGGACTCTAGGAATCAATGGCTGGAGACAGTAGGTGACATGGCTCAAAATCGTTGTCAATGGCGCAGATGTATTCAGTCCCTGTAATCTTTCATATTTCTTTCTACCATTACCCATTCTGATTCGCTCTTATACTTGTCAAACTCTATTGATTTTCTTCACTCATCTTCTTGTCTACCTTGTGTGCCAATTGGAACGTGGCAACTCGAACTGGTGCACTTCGGTGCCAAGTTCTATGTTGAATCCAGACAGACAGACAGACCAGCGATTCAAGATATTTGAAAATGCTTGAATAAAATGGCGAAACATTTTATGCAAATGTAGTCACAGTAACTCTCATACACACTGATTTATCACGAAACTTTGCAAAATACTGGGTAAAACATTCTTTGAAGCATCACGGTGTTTAAAATTCGTCTTACTCGTTGCATAATTCCAACTCTGCCTAGTCTGGTTACACTTCAATGTGCATTCACATGAATCTAACTGTTCATCATGTGGAGGCAGTAGTTACATAGGTAGGACGACTCGGAAAGCACATTGTCGCCTTCTGGAGCATTGTTGTTCAACGTGGTTACGTAAAGCAATCGTAAAGTCAATCAGAGGTTTCACACATAGTGGTGCCAACCCCAACTCCTTGAATACTCCTATCCTGTATATTTTAATAACCACATTAATTCAAAATACCTATGACTACTAATACTTCACTAAGTAAATGTAAGCCCTGATGAGGATCTACCAAGATTACGTAACTGCTTGCTTAATTCGTCTTGTTTGAGTAGAAGTCACTTGACATGCAGACGCCAGTGGTTCAGCGGTAGATACAGAACGCTCGCAAACAACCACCAAGCCAAAGGTACAAGATCCGATCCCGGATGACACACACTTACCTATACCTCGCTAGGCCGGAGAGGGGAGGGGCGACGAGTAGGGCCGGTAAAGACGAAAGAGGTTGGGCAGCATATGAGGGCTAGCAACCTCACTGCTAGTGAAATTTCAAGTCTCTAGCTTGAAGCCTTAATGCTATGGCTCCACTCGAAATGTAAAGGAATAAAATAGATAAATGGATACAAAGAAATGTAAATATTGATTATCATACATATGTATCTAACATAATCCTTACTTCGAATCGTAGACAATCTTTCACATTATCCATATCGTATAGTTCACGTAACACCTTGAGTATTGCCATAGTCCATGGATTAGGCGGACGAAAGACTAAACTTTCAGTAGCTCCACGAACAACACGCGCAACAAATGGTACTACATACTGTGTAGGTATAGGACCTTTATAATAAGCTTCATAGATAAGATCTTTAATGTTTAAATCATCATGCAGGACTGGTTTATTACGCGCCAGAGTGATAAGACCAAGAAAACTGCCAAAATTTTTCAATGTACTACGGGCTTGCATATCATCTTTATCGAGACGCATATTGCGTAGCAGAAACTGTAGAGAGAGAGAAAAATTTGAAGAGAAATCAATAAAATAAACTGGTGAGCATAAAATTAATGTAAAAAATTGAAAACAAACATTAGAAGCCATGATTATACAGAAGGGGAATAAATCTGTCTCAACAATGTGTCAATCTCAATATCTGTTAACGTCATTATTAAGTAGTGAATAATACTGGTCAAAGTACATATTAATATAAACACCTGGATCTAATACTAATGATAATAATGATAATAATCTGTCCGTCTGTCTGTCTGTTTTCGACATAGGATTTTGCACAAATGTGCACCAGTTCAAGTCACCACACTCCGTATAGCACGCGAAGCAAGAGAAGAAAGTACAAGAAAAGCATAATAGAAACAGTAAACAGAGGTGTGAGACACAGGAATAGTAGTGACGAAAAACAAAACAGTTTCATTGGAGATCATAAGTCACAAGGAGTGGATGCATCTGCGCCACTGAGAACGATTTTGAGCCATATCACTAATTGTTTCCAACCATAGATTTTTACCGTCCCGAGGACCCCAGCCTAGAAGTCTACACCTTCCTACGTGGCTTAGACCAACTGTTGTGGATTTCATTGACTGGTGCCAAGTTTTTGTTTGACCGCCGCTAGGTTTTTTCCAACCTGACCCTATATCCGCTAACATTGCTTGTCGAGGGAGGTGATGGCGAATGATAATAGTAATAATAATAATAATAATAATAATAATAAAATGCAAGGAAACTCCATTAAAAGACACAAATTTAATATACGTGTAAAACTTGGGCACTGTGGTAGTAGGTAATTCCATATTGGTTTGTTTATTAGATGTATCACACACAGAGTAAAACAGTATTAGTATTTACTGGATGACGTTTCGAACTCAATAAGAAACAAGCTTTGTCGGTTAAAGGATCAATCCTGTGGAGCCTTTAAAACAAAACAATTTAGTTTATCTAATACCCTACCTGTGATGATTGTCGGTGAGGTCGAATACATAGGTCAAACTAGTAGAATAGGGGAAGTCAGGCTAGCCGAACATAAAAACCTAACGAAATCCAGATTGGTTGACTCAAATAAGATAAGAAATCTAGAGAATAGTTCAGCTATACCACATCACTGACATGCAATTACACACAACAACACAATAGGATGACAGTTCTGAAATCTAATGTCACCGGGGTGGAAGGAGAGATTGATAACAGAAGCTTTGTTTATCGAATTAAGTGCAAATACATGTAATAGGAATGATTCAACACCTGTCCCCACCCAGATATCTGGAAAATTCTTCTACCCCAATGACGACAAATAGAGAACAAAGAAAACTATAAAACTCAAGTTTCGAAGTCGTGTGATTACAATTGATGAAATGATTATGAACAATAAATTTTTTCCGACAAGTCATCCAGTAAATAATACTGTCACACTGACTGTGTGATACATCTAATGAACAAACCAACACAAATTTAACATTTAGGGCTAAATAACAAGATTGTAACATGTTTGATCTAAACTCATAAACGATAGTTTGATGGACACGCTTCACCATGATGAACAGACTCAGCTATGATTTTTCGATTTGCACAGGTAACATCCCCTAAGGAAACTAACATTATGTTAGGTATCATAATCTATGTCAAAAAATATCTTGTAATGATGAAATGAGAGAAGACTGACTGACTGACTGGCTTCAACACAGAACTTTGCACAGATATGCGACATTTCGAGTCGCCACACTTCACTCAGCACACAAAGCCAGAGAAGCAGAAGAAAGTAAAAAGAAAGGCAGAAAAGAGACAGTAAACAGAGATACGAGGCAAGAAGAATAGTAATTTCGAAGATCGATTCAGTTTTATTGGGTATCATAAGTCACAAGGAGTGGATGCATCTGCACCATTAATAACGATGAGTTTGAGCCATTTCACCAATTTTCTCCAACCTTGATTGGTGTTTACCGTCTCGAGGACTCCAACCAGTCAGGAAGTCTACACCTTACTACGTGACTTCAACTAAATGTTGTGGATTTCATTGACTAGTGGCTCTTTTCCAACTTGACCACCCAATATCAGCTAAAACTGCCCGTCGAGGAGGAGAAGAAGAAGGAAAGGAAGGGACGGAGAATTATATAGGTAAAATAAAAGTATTCTATCAAGGTAGATTATGTATGCATAAATCCCACGCCTTCCTGAATCTGATTGCGAAAGCTTCACAACAAGAAAAAACAAAACAAGAGCTCTTTCCCATTACCTTGCTTATTAATAATAACTATGAAGCCTTTTGCTAAACACGTCATCATATGATCATCGTTCAATAAATGACGTGTGACTGAACTCCTTGAGATGCTATCGTGAGTTTTGGGGAAAACCCTTTAGAGCACAGTATTTGGTGATACGAAAAGACAAACATCTTTCTGTACCCCCATCCCGGGGGTCATACAATTGTGTTTATTACACTTGTTTTATGAATCATGACTGGACAAAGTTTTTAAAAACAAGAGATGACCCCCTTTTTATATATAAACCTCTGTGTTTTGGTAATTCCGATTAATTTCCCTGAAGAAATTCGGACCAGATTTCCAAAGGTAGTAAACGTTGGAATTAATCACTTCAATCTCGCGATTTTACAAATGTCTACTTCTCACTCGGTGCCCAAATATTTTAGAACTATTCTGTCAAATCTTGACGACAGTTCATTTGAATTAATCTCACTTTGGTTAAGTAATTGATCCTAAAAACCCTATAAGAAAGAAGGTTTTGGCAAGGGACTATCAAACCCCACACCACCCACACAGTGTAAAACAAAAACATCTCCAAACATTACTCTATGAAAACCTGACGTGTATCGGGATGTGAGGCAAAGACAAAAAGAAACAAAAAACAACGATGTCACACACACACACACACACTCACCTTGATATGTCGGATAAGTTCAAACATCACCTTTGGTCGCACATTTGGTACACGTTCTTGTATATGATCAAGAACTATTGCAAACAGATCATGGAATGTTTGTTCAACAGGGATACGTTTACTCACAAGATAAAATGCAAACCATGGGATTAATCGATCCTCAGATAGCAGACTTGCTAATTCATTTGATTTCTCTTTAGCATTCACCTTTGATACATTATTGAATAAAAAGTAGATACGATCAGAAATACTTTCTTCTGGTGCATCAGGCGCTTTTAAACAGACGTCATTTGTAGTCGTAGACGTTGACATGGTTAAATTTAAACTAGTCGATGGGGTCAATGATTCAGCGTGTTGTTGATAATGTCCACCACCGCTGCCACTACCAGCGCCAGCAACACCGGCAACAGCACCACCGCTACTACTACCACCAACAAGTTGATTCGATGGATTACTTCCAGTAGTTGTTAAATTCTGCATACAAAGAAGCGGGGGGGAGGGTCAAAAGAGTGAAATAAGAAAAAGCCAGTTATTCGATCAAATTAAAATAAAATCGTTTATACAATACTACTAAGCAACAATTAAAGCACAAGACATGAAGAACAGATAAACTGAAGTGAATCATCTAACCGACTAACCTTAGTTAAAGAAGCATTCTGTTGTGAAATTGTATAATTCTTTATGGCTATTTCAGAATTTAGAATGTACTGCAAACAACAAGAAAAGAATAACACCATAAAAAAGTTAAATAATAATAATAGTAACACTAATACATATAAGAGACAATTAAACAATTTGAATTCAAGCGTTAATAATTTGCAGGAATTTCATCATGGGCTAACGTCATCTGGTTAGAGTACCATTGAAAAACCAGCAGCTGCGAGTAGGCGGAAGTTGGAATTCATGGACTGGCCACCTTGTAACCGTAAGGTCCTTGGCTCGAACCCTGAGAGTGGAGGCGTGCTAATGAGCAGTCCCAAATTAGGCTGATGAAATGGCTGTCCAGTAGTAGTACTACTCCCAGGTGATTTTCAAAGGTTCTCTATCCGATGTCAGCTCATGATGAAATCCTGTAAACAAGTTATATATGGTGTAGACTAAGACATCGAACAGCTACTGGGCCTTAATTCAGACTTGTAGAGCACAGTTAGGTATTCCCACTTAGGTTATAGCGAAAAATACCAGTATACCGACTCAGTATTAGGTAAGAATAAATACTTTTAAGTAATATGTTATATATTACTCCTCTATTGGTTTCTGAGTGCTACGGCCACATCGCTTCATCCTGTTTCCGCGATTACCCACATATTGCCCTGAAACCCATGCCCAACTTGTCGTTTTCCGTTCGGGTTCCATTCCAAGGCCTGGAACATTCAGAAGATATAGCATAAGAAGGTGAGGTGACTCTATTTACCCCCCCCCTCTCAGTTACTTTATTCGGCATGATATCAACCAATCCCCTAATCATCATTTGACCTATGCAACATTTAAACCATGAAGGCGGACAGCACGTTATGAGGCTTTGGGGATTGAAGAAACAATGAGTGCCTGGGAGTTGGAATCTCACTGGGAATACAGGTGAATACAGGTACATACAACAGTGAACGCCCACCCTGGATTCCACTACTACTACAGTCACCAACCATCAGGTTACTTTAAATTAACATAAATTCAAATTATTTTTTTAAAAATAACAGCTTACACTTTGAAGGTCATGTGGAAACAGTTTAAAGACTGGACAACTGGCCAAACAGTTGGGAAGATTTGAAAAATGCACAAATCTAAAAAGGTAAACATAAAATCAGGTCAACAGTTTATCAATCTATCTATTCTAAATGTACATATACGTGACGGAAAAAGGAATAAACTTACGTATTTTTGGCTTTCATAAGAATATGTACCATTGCTCGAAACAATGGTGCATCCATGTGTGTCTCAGGTGGCAGAATAAACAATCGAGCTAATACAGAACGCCATAGCATTGAAAGTGCACGCATTGAAAAGCTGTAAGGTAATAAACAAACAAAAAGAAGAAATACACGATCAGTCATCACATTAGAGAGGAAATCGGACGTAAGACATTCTCTCTCTCGCGCGCAATCGTCATCTAATACAAAAACAACTTACAGATGAGTACTAGCTGCAAGAACACTACCGTACAAATCAGCGATCAACGGTAGCATAACTTCAGGATAATCTTGTAAATGTCGAGAGACTTCATCGGCTAGCATACGTAGAATTCCATCTAAAAGTTTTCGTTGAGCCGGTGTACCTTGAGTAGCGAAATCGTACAGCGTTTTGAACATTTCATCTGGTGGACTAATGCCTTCCAATAGCTTTTGAAAGAATGTATTCGCCTGTAATCGGGAAAGAGAACGGGGAGAAAAAGGTTGAGAAACTCCGAAAGTCCTAAAAGTATGTTACCAAGTCAAGTATTATGAATTATTACTGCTATATGCAATGACGACACGCTGGCAAAATAGAAGGTCGATCATTGAAATCAACACTTAACCCTAAGAAAATCAATTTAATCCTCTGGGGCATAGTTAACAGCAAAGAATATCCAATTACGATTAGATGCCAATTTTTAACTGACTTTCAGTTGATTTTCTTTCAGCAAGGTAGGGAATCAATTTAAAAAATGAAATAATAGTAAGACGTCTTCTGGGAATTGATGAATGTATTAAAATAATCTAATTCCACACACACATACGCTTGTGTATATGAAATTTCATTGAAAGATGAATGATAAACGACAGTTAAATGCGAATCGATAATTTCCAAACATTAAGCACGCAGATTTTGTCTCACCGTATAGGAAACTGAACACACATACGTAAACAAACCCGTGACAAGTAAAGTACAGCAGGTTGAATGTGAGGCAGTAACCCATCGAAAAAGACATTGCGAAGTGGTCGTGCTATATCATGAATTGGCAGAAGTTAGAATTCATGGGTTGGCCATTGGATCAGGTCCCAGTGGCTTAATGGTCTATGAACTAGCTCGTCTTGTAACCAGAAGGTCCCGGATTCAAACCGTGCTGGTGGGTGCGTACTAATGAGGGGTCTCATACTAGGAGGAAACAGCTGTCCAGTACTCCCTATTGGTTCCCGATGGTCCTCCAAACGATGTGATAATGGCAGAAAATTTTAGAAAAGAGACCGCTTCTTCCAGTTTCACTAGGCAGCACCGTGGCGTTCTAACTACAGGTGGACATCACGGACGAGGGTGTCAAAAAGCTAAAGACCAGATGGCTACAAAGGGATTGGCGGCAGAGAACTCTAGGAACCAACCAAAGAGGAAAAGTTATCCCCGAGGGAAATGGCATTGTGTAACAGGGCCATCGTTCCAGTGGGATGCAAATGCGGAGGGAGAACGGCGAGTTGGAAGTCCGAGGGTCGTGTGAAGAGGAAACAAGATCCTGTTGGTCATGCAGTGAGTCACCTAAACAAGACTGCAGAGAGTAGGATGAAATGGAGGTGTGCTGTTGTTGTTTTGCAGCCTTATATTCCACTCGGAGCTCACTCAACGGAATATTATGTAATTAATTGTAATAAATGCACCCAACACACACACACAACATAGACAATATATGAAAACTGAATTAAAGCATCAAGTTATTTCGATTTCATAACATGTATCCATCCGTCTGACGTTTAAGACGGTTGAAAAAAACAACAACAGCATTATGTACACGGGAGTAGTCATGATGACAATGATCTCTACATATAAGTTGAAGTTCCTGTGACTGTTATTCTCGTTTTGTCTTGTAATCGATATCTCTGTCAACTCTACTTTAATGATAAGTGGTTATGCGCACTTATTGACCGATTTACAGCAACAACAACAACAACAACGAATATAACCAAGAACAAATAATATTGAAATTGGGGTCATTGTTAAAAACAAAACAAAAAAACTGAGATAATGAGCTCTCACTGACGACTGAAACAAAAATGAGCCAATAGCAGAAAAATGTATTGGCAACGAAAAATTCTATTGACGAAATGTAGAAGAATGTTGCTTAATTTTTTAGTGAAAGGAGGGCGGCAGCCCTGGATATATATTTTAATAGAACTATTATGGTACAATACATAATAATTATTGATACAGAGAGACATTTTTAATTTTTAACCAATGTTGATCAATTATACAGACTCTAAAGTTTATTTTTGCTCTGACACCCGACAGAGTGTGGATGGGGGTTCCTATCACCACCTGGTTGCTCACTCAAACCTCTATCAATGATTGGAGGAGTAGGGTTTAAACCTGTACCACACGCTGGTTGGGGAGATTCCGAAAGTCAAGGTACGCCTTTCATCAATCTGAAATCAATTTGGAACAAGATTCGGATTTTCAACACAAATGCCAAGTCAATCCAGTCAGTCAGTCAGTTCTTCAATATGGGTCACAAACTTGTATTGCGTGCCTGTAACAGGAAAAGTATTTTCAAAGGCCAGCTAGCTACAGGCTTTTATCAACAGCTGTCACCTTCGCTGGTTCCATACTGAACACCCAATGAACAGAAAGAATTGACACTCTGGGAGAACTTATTGCTCAACAATAATGTAGTAGGAAATGGAGATGGATTGGGCACACGGTGAGCAGACCGTCGAGTGATATTGCGCGCAATGTCACATCGAGGGTAACATGAAGATGAGTTGGGCAATTGTGGGCCCAGTTAAGGAGGATCGCAGAAAATAGAAGGAAGTGGAGACTTGCTATTGAAGCCCTACGTTCCACTAGGAACCTAAGAGAGCGATGATAATAATAATAAGTTCGTTTCATCTTCAGCCAGATTCGGCAGTCCACAGACCCATTAGTTATAAACACACACAGGCCAAATTTATTATTATTGTGAAGTCATACAACTCGGTAAGCGCGTACGATATCGCTCAGCAAACGGTTCAACAAACAGGTTGAATGTGGGTAACTTAGGTCATATAAATCAAAAGCCTCCCCCCCACAAGTATTTGACTGTGTGTGCGTCAGTAATCGCCTTGCAAATATGATGGGATCACAAACGGAAATATGAGTGATTTGAAACTCGCTTAAAGCAATACCACACTTTGAAGTGTTGTTGGTCTACAGAAATTTGATTGGTCACAAGATTTCACTATGAACTGACATAGGAGATTAAAGAACCAATGGAAAACCAGCTGGGAGTACCGAACAATTTGGAACTTTACATCAATAGGTACCCACCGGCACCCAATCCATGTAATTCAAATAAATCAAGTAGAAAGAGATATATCGTAAGCCTACTCAACCCCCACACACACCTATTTAAGAAAAAAGAGGTAAATACCATCATCACACTACACTTTTTGCCTTACCTCGGCTTCGGCTTCTTTACTCAACTGGATTTTAATAGGTTCATTGACAAATGAAAGTTCCATAGGTGGATGTTCCATTGGTAGGGAGAAATTGTTTAAGAAATTATTACTGTTCAACGTTGGAATGTTGTCTGTTGTCATCACAGATGGACCGACTAGACTACCACTGCCGCCGCCACCACCAGCAGAGGTCGGTGCTGCTGCCTTACGTCGGGGTGCTGGAAGCTATATATAATGAAATAATTTGCATAAACACAACACAAAAGGTGAGAAACAGCAGTGTTAGTTAGTGTAATAGTAGTAGACATAATCTAAACAACAAATACTAAAAATATCAATCTATGGTCACATAAGCGCATATACATATATGTGTGTCTGTGTATTTCTTTGTGTGAGCGCGCGTGTGTGTGTGTGTTTGTAAATCTGAAGGTAAAGAAAGGAATGAGCTCACAATTACCAGATGAGATGATTACATAATACACAATGAATGTAAATAGTAATGATAAGAAGAATAGAACTAACCTGTGTGTGTGAAGTTATTAATAAAGGAGAGATACTGGGTAATACAAAATTATATCAATGACAAACATTAAAATCAATATGATACGATTGCTAACATCACTGATGATGAAATTTTATTAATATTATAAGGGAGGAGACTACTAAATACACGAATTATTAATAATAATAAACTGGATCTCTGATACTATTGTCTGTCTGGTTGATACCATCCCACCGCCTAAAACTTCCCCCTCTTCACTGGGCTTACTGCTACGACTGCTGGCTAGCTTAGAAGAAGTGCATCACAATTGGAAAGACTAGCAGGGCTACAGCAGCATACATGGGGGGGGGCGAGGGGAGAGACAACATTCTACCACCTGAAAAGCAGCAGGTAGTATGCGGATTATAAATTATACAGTATCTGACAGTGTAGTACCTAACCATGTGGAATATTTGCAGCGTATGTTCATATAAAGGATAACTGCTACCTTGTCGCGGTGGTCGGGCTTGAATACGGTAATGACCCAACATGCTAAACTGACTAAGACTCTGTCCCTGCTGGTCCTACCATGTCAGGAAGGTTTTCTGGATAGCGGTTAAACTAAAAGCAGTTACCACGGAGTACATGGGCTCCAATATCCAATCGGATCAAATGGAATATGAATCCATATGGGTCACCGGAAGCCATGGAAATGCAGCTCCTGACGCTGCCCCGCTGCCTTGCGGATTAGACTCAAAGTCAAAGGTTCGGGGGTGGTCCCTTAATAAAACCACCTGCTTCGGTCTGGGCGTCCGGACAGTATCTCAGCCCTCACACAATGAATTGAATAAAGCAACAAACAATCAATGAAACTTATCGCGTGCTATTACACAAGTTGCAGTTTCCTTCTTTCTTCCCTTCCCGATAATAGTTAACGAATACTGTTTGAACTTGTTAAGCATGACTGTTTTCCTTCCAGACGAAGTTCCTTATCCGTTCTCTACTTATATATATATATTCCTCTTCTTTTTTTCTTTTGATCTATGTTGTTTTATTATTATTGTGTGGTGCATCCTTCTTGGTACCATGTTGTACCAAGTTTTTATGCGTTTAAATAAATAAATAAAGGATGATTTGATTATTTCTCCAAGCTTTCCCCCGTGTCGGTGTACATCAGTGAGTCAATTAGTGACCCTTTGAACAGTTCGTCTGGGGGGAATGTTTCGGGGAATGCAGGTACATCCATCCAGCTGGTAGATAGGTCTCAAATAGGACGAAATTCGCATCGTATTACATTGCCAGTCACCATCCACACCAATCAGTAAACCTTGAGATTTCAGATTTAACCATATGACTATTTGAAGTAAATTGGTACATGGAATCCAGGATGCACATATCACCCTGCCTATTTGAGACAGATCCACCAGCTGGATGTACCTGATAATAATGACAATGATAATAGCTTTATTCCAAAACAGTACTTGTGATACAGAATGGAATTCTAAGCATTTTACTACAGTATTACATCCAGTTAGTAAATTAACAATAAAATAAAATTCTACATAGATTAAGGGTAATCTCAGTTAGTTTTGACGACAACATATTAGCATGTCAGTATCAAAGCTAAAATTAAACAGTGTTTGAAGGTGCTAGAAAAGTAGGTTCTAGCATATTTACTGGTGTAAGCAGAAGAAAGAAACAAAGCTGCACATAACAGACGCCCCCCCCCTCCACTGAGGCTCGAGTTCAGTACCCATTGTTTCAAACGTCAAAGGGTTATCTCCATTCAACCGATTGGGCCAACGAGAGCCATCTTCTGTGCCATTTAGATTTTCCCGTCGTCGATTGGACCGAGGTGAGATGCTCGGCCTCACTCAGGTTGTCATGTCGACTACTTGTGCAGATGCTTCGACGGATGATGTCTGATTATTTAGCTTCAAGAAAATTGGTGGATGGAGATGGAGGCCTTGTACTTCCAGTCCAGTCAATCAAGTAGCAGGTCCGAAATTGAATTAAGTGATGTGAATACTTGTTCATAAGTACACTAAAATACAGCTTAGAAATAATAACACGTAAAGAAAAACAACCTCTTCATTAACGAGTGTAGTCATCATCTTTTTTTACTCGGACAACGTAAAAACAGAACTACTTAGGAAGGAAAAGTAAAATTTCTTTTAAAAGGAAAGGAAAGAGGTAAGTAAGTAAGTAAGTGAACAACTCACTCTATTCGTTTGTAAATGAGACTGAGTTGAACCAGCTCCACCTGTTTTCATAGCCGATCCGCTATTACTGGCGCTATGGCTGCTGCTACTTGATGATGAGACAGACTGATTGTTAGAACGATTCAGAGCTAGAAGAGGATATGATGAACACGCAAAATTATAATTCAAAATAAATCTTACCTGAATTGATAATAAACTGGAGTAGAGTATTTAAGGATTCATGTACATCAGCAAGAAGTGGACGGGAAACAAAACATGGACTAGACCTAGGATGAGAGATATGATAAAACAAAAACAGAAAAAAAAACAAGTACCAAGATTATTATAGCGTTGTGAAGAGAATAGTTCTAAAGAAGTTTACTTAGTAATTACTACTACTAGACAACATTACTCAAGATGCATTCACGATTGATTTTTTCTGAAGAATCACTGCGCATATAACACACCAACTTAGGAAAATAACTAGGTTTTGTTTTGGTGAATGGTATGAAGTGCAGGCATTAAATATAAATAAAGGTGTTCGAGTATCACAGCTGAATTTGTTGGGAACGCGAGGCATAAATTCAAGTTGACCATTTTTACGAAGAGCTAGTGGTGGTCACACGAAAACCGCTTCATCAGTCAGTGAAACCTACAACAGTAGGCCTGAGCTAGTCGCAACGTAAGGAGGTGTAGGCTGCCTGACTGATTGGGGTCTTCAGGATGATAAGAACCAATAAAGATTGGAAACAATTGGTGATATGGTTGACTAAAAATCATCGTTGTCAGTGTCTGGCTGGCGAAGATCCACTCACCCTTTGTGATTAATCATATCCGATGAAACTCTATTGTTCTTCCATACTACTATTGTTTTTCCTTCAATCACACTTGTGTTCATTGCCCCTCTTTTGTTGAATCCCTGTATAATGTCTTCTGTACACGGAAGAAGAGTGAGTGGGAACAGGAACTGGTAGACATCTATGGAAATTTTCATGTTGAATACAGTCTATCGTATAATGCCATTTGTAGTTTTGGAGTTATCACAACACCTAATTAAGACATTCATCCAATTGCAATTATATATAAGTGGTCATTGAAAGTAATGTACTGAAGAATACAGCACCATACCTTTAATCACTTCGCCCTACCCCTCCCGTAACACTTTTTCGAGCTTGTTTAAATGGCCATTGGGGTGTCCAGCAGATATCACGTGTAGCATGTGGTGAGAAGCTCCTCTAAGTCATTTGATGGCTACATGTAAACAAGTTCATATGTTTAGTTTCTCAATTAACTAATGTCATTAATATATGTCCTATCCATCCCACTCAATCAATGTAACTTCACAACATAATCAATTCACTTTTTCTCCTTACCTAGCACTAGACCGATGACTCACCAACACAACAACATAACACGAAATGTAGATAGAACACAGACAACTATTATCAAAGACAACTATATCTTCCACTTTCAAAGATTATGTCTTGCTAAAAGACAGGGAACGATAGATCGAAGTGCTACTACTGAGCAGTACACACAAGTTCTTTGATTGACAGCCAGTCGGATATCACGTCAACGCCAGAGATGACATTACACAGAGGTAGTCGAGAACTGAATATCTGAATGGGGGGGGGGGATTTCTAATGGCATAGCGCCTTTACATATTAAATAAATATCTCCATAGTATTGAAGTGTTGACTGAGTTTCGACATGAAACTTTGCGCAGAAGTTCACTAGTTCATATTGCCACACTCCAAGTATCATACAAACGCAGACAAAAGAGGAAGCGAAGAGACTGAAAAAAATTATAGTAATCAGAACAGTGAGGGAGAACGAATATAAGTAACACGCAAAACATTACAACAGATCACAAAGGGTCATTTGGAATGATTTTGACTCATATCTCCTATAGTCGCCGTCAGGTATTGAATTTTGAGGTCCCGAAGACCCGAACCATGAAGCTTAAACCTCGTTAAGGGGTTGGCTGGCAGTTAAAGATTTCATGGTGGACTGACTTCAAGTTTTCGACTGAACACCACCATCATCAACTCTTTTCCAACCATGATTCTATGTCAGTTAAATCCCTATAAAAGACACCGGTTTACTAGTTTCGATTAAATCTAACTGAAACCTAACTTTGAAATCTGAGTTTGCTACCACATGACAAAACTACACACACATTTATGAAACACGAAAAATAGGGATAAGACAACTATATATATATATACTTGGTTTAAGGTATTTGGTATAATCTCGCCTATTGATTAAGCAGTAGTTTGTTTCAATCTGAGTTCCTGACAGAAAACAGTCTTCAGTATCGACTTTTTTGTTGAGCACAAGATCACTAGAAAAGTGTGAAACAACTATTCTTTTGGTACAATCAAGTCAAATAACTCAAATGAACCGTCGTCAAGATTTGACAGACATAGTTCTACAATATTTGGGCGCCGAGTGAGAAGTAGACATTTGTAAAAACTTATATTTGTAAAATCTCAGCGACATTGAAATGACTAATTCCAACGTTTACTACGTTCGTCAACCTGCTCCGAACTTCTTCAGGGAAATTAATCGAAATTAACATAACACAGGTTTATATATAAAAGGAACATCTCTTGTTTTTAAAAACTTTGTCCAATCATGAGTCATAAAATAAGTATAAACAAGTAGGTATAATAAACAAAACTGTATGAGCTGCGATCAAAATTTGACCTCGGACTTACAAATATTGACCTACCTTTGTTAAACACTTTAAACACGGCGTGTATATGTGTGTGTGCGGATAAACAGTTGCAAAACAATGTCTTAGTGTCTCCATAAGAAGATATAGACAGTCGGGAAACTTTGACCAAGTATCATTAGTTAGTGATACATATCCACTACTGATGAAAACAACTGATATAATTTGTAAACAAACGGATCTACTACCATTACCGGAAACAGAGATGAAGCGACTTCTACTGCTCTGCACAAAAGATATACGATTCAAATTCAACAATCAACTTTACCGACAAACCGATGGGGTCGCGATGGGTTCGCCTCTGGGACCTATCCTGGCTGATATCTTCATGGGCTACCTTGAGCAGACACAACTAAGTTCTGCTATCAATGGAACTACCTACTATCGCCGATATGTTGATGACACATTTGTTGTTTGCAACGATATGGATCACGCATCGGCACTATATGATCGCCTAAATGAGATACATCCAAATATCAAATTCACCATGGAATATGAACATAATAATGAGTTCAATTTCCTGGATCTAAATGTAAAAAGAACAAACGAAGGCACGGTCGAAAAGTCCATCTATAGAAAAGAAACCTGGACTGGACAATATCTTCACTATAACAGCTTTTGTCCCATAAGCTATAAACGTGGATTAGTGAGGACTTTGTATGACAGAGCCAGAAAGCTATGTTCACCAAACAGGGTCGAAGAAGAATTAGTTTTCGTCGAGAAATGCCTAAGGGAAAATGGATACCCTAAGGGATTTATTCAGAAGTACAGCAGAGAAAAAGATGAGAAAGAAAAGCATCCAACTGTAGAAAAGAAAAAAGTTTTTATGTCTACCATACAAAGGAGATGCAGTGTCACAAAAGATTGACAAAAGACTGAAAGCTGCAATAAATAGAAGCTTCCCAGCAGCAAAACTCATAACAGTATACAGCACCACTCCCTCTTTAATCCAATCAAAACTGGATAAATACCCTGCTGATGTCACCTCCAACTGCGTTTATGAATTCACGTGCACTTGCGGGAGCAAGTACATTGAAAGGACAGAAAGAAGGGCTTCTATCCGGTTTTCTGAACATATTCCCAAAAACCTGTGCCTGAAAGGAAGCAGATATTCCCAGAGTGCAATTACCAGACACATTATTGATACCGGACATCTCGTAGAGATTTCTAAGTCCTTCAAAATATTAAATAGACAAAGGACAGCAAATTTACTACGATTTGCCGAAGCAATCGCAATCAAAAGACTTAAACCAGACTTATGCATACAGAAAGAGAGTGTGATTAACCTCTCACTCCCTTGGTAACAGAATTTTGATTTTGATTAGTCATCTAATTCAGTGATCTCAACTCACTGAACAAATCTTAATCTCATAAACTGTAACCATTTTTGTTTTTTGTTCTTGAGTTGCTATGTGAACCTAAAAGCTAACACTGTTCTGTTAATCAATTTTTTCTGTTTTCTCTCTTACCCCTCCCCCTCTTTTCAACTTTAAAAGCGTATAAATTGATGATGAAAACTTAAACTAAAAACATTGTAATGCTTTCATTTAGATGCGTCAATTTTATAGTATCTCTTTTCTACCACCACTCGAACATTAAAGTATGTTATTATCAACCATATAACCATTGTAATTTCAGGTAGTCTGCAGCTGATGAGAACCTGTGAAATAGAATGATATCATTTTATACTGCAAATTTCGTCTTCCTTTCTTTATCGAAATTTATCAAGGGAACCAAATGTATGATACATATCCATTCTTATTTATTAATCAGGATTTCCCATGCCTCAGCTAACATCACAACTTCATCTGTTCAAACTGTTAGTAAATAGAATTTTATGATTAGATTATTCTGTCAAATTTTGACTACAGTTAATTTGAATTATTTTGCAATCGAATTAAATTAACAAAGAAACCATATAATTGGTACAATCATCGTGTTTTCAATCTCCGTTGTCTGCAACAGAATGCATATCCTAAATCAGTAGCTTTCGAGTCACCTGACAACTCTCCAGTAGGTCGAATAAAGCAGCTCAATCTTCAGAAAGAAGACAAAGTAATAAGTTCGACAGGGTGCTTCAACTATAAACTCTAATCCTAAACACCATAATTTTGAAAATACGTCTAATCATAAAATTCTAGATACTAACAGTTTGAACAGACATACATGAAAGTGTGATGTTATCTGACGCATAGGAAATCCTGATTAATAAATAAGAATGCATATGTATCACTAATTAATAATACTTGGTCAAAGTTCCTGACTGTCTATATCTTCTTATGGAGACGTTAAGACATTGTTTTGCAACTGTTTATTCGCACACACACATATACACGCCGTGTTTAAAGTGTTTAACAAAGGTAGGCCAATATTTGTAAGTCCGAGGTCAAATTTTGATCGCAGCTCATACAGTTTTGTTTATTATACCTACTTGTTTATACTTATTTTATGACTCATGATTGGACAAAGTTTTTAAAAACAAGAGATGTTCCTTTTATATATAAACCTGTGTTATGTTAATTTCGATTAATTTCCCTGAAGAAGTTCGGAGCAGGTTGACGAACGTAGTAAACGTTGGAATTAGTCATTTCAATGTCGCTGAGATTTTACAAATATAAGTTTTTACTAGTCAAATAACGCTCACGATTTCGGAAATACGAAATTCAGTTCATTTTTCATTGGAGGCAACCACCAATAATGCTATTATTGATTATCTATTATAATTTAGAACAAACCAACTTTGGTAGTAATCTCAATATATATAGGCACCACAAAAGCCTCCATAACCTTAAAACCCGTGAATTAAAAAAAAAATAAAGATCAATTCAAATTCATTGAGTTTATGTCGCTGGTTAAAACTAGGTTAGTTTCTTTTTAATTTTAATTGGGGTAGAAAATTGTAGAAAAAAAACAATTTATGAAAGAAACTAAGTTTACTCCGAGTGATGAGAAAGCAACAACAACCTACGCTAGTTTGTCGTTTTCAACTAACTAACATACAAATAGCAAAATTTGAATATTGATATAAAGTCAAACTATTTCTCCATAGTACTGGTGGTTGTAAGGTTTCAAGACACACGATACTTAAACTCACACAAGAAAACCACACAATGAACAAAATTAAGTAACTTCCAGATACTGACTAGTACATGTTTGAGTAATAAGCACAAGCTGAAGAACACAAAACATGGAAACCTTGGGAATGAATGATGGTACTGCTATACTTCTTTTCTTAAAATCCTCTTTCACATAACCACATAAGGTCAAGCACAGTCTCGAGGTTTTATAAGGACCTAATAAGGAAGGACACGTTTGTAATGATAAAAACCATCAGCTTTATATGACCGCTGTAAATAAAGAGAAAGGTGTGAAAGAAATTGAAATGACACGGGGATCCACGAAGAACACGCAATGACGGTGGAACAATCGCGAGATTTCAGTACAAAAAAGAACCCCGCCCCCACTTAAATGTCTAGACGAAAAAAATACTGAGCAAGGAAATTACGAGATGACTTTATCATATTTTATTCGATTTCATACAAGACACTTTCATTTCCCTCCGAAAAACGACCGATTTAGAGTTTACAGGAACTGTGTGTCGTCTCACAACAGCATAGTGTGGAAGAGGTAGTTAGGAATTGCAAAATATCAATTTGGTTCAAAGTTTGTATCTTACTGCCACTGTTTCACAGCACTGTCTGCCTACAGGCATAAACTAACAAGCCTACACACAGAAACGTCAACTAAAAGCGTAACTTAAAAATAATTTGATATAAGTATAAAGCTTGGGCACTGTGGTGGTAGAGTATAACTCCATTATAGATAAGATTTTATTTTGATAAGTCACACAGTGTCGTACAATAATATTAATTGATGACGTTTCGGGCACAAACGATTGCTCATAATCATATGGTATGATATGATTATGAGCAATAGTTTATCCTCGAAACGTCATCAGTTAAAAATATTTTGTATTTAATTGCCAAGATTAGTAGTAATATATTCAGTTAGTTTTAATAATAATAATAATTCGCTTCATTTCAAAACAGCACTTGTGATACAGAATGGAATTCTCAGCATTTCACTACACTATTGCATTCAGTTAGTACATTAACAATAAATAAAATTCCACATAGATTAAGGAAATCTCAGTTCATTATGACAACATATTGGCATGTCGGTAGTAAAGCGAAAATTGAACTGAGTGTTTGAAGGTGTTCAAAAAGTAGATACTAGCATATTGACTGGCGTAAGCGGTGAACAAAGGGTCGAGATATACTGTGTGTGAGAGAACGAAGAATGTTTTAATAGAGTTAGTAAGGAAGAGAGAAACAAAGCAGCACATAACAGAAAAAAGAGAGAAAGAAAAGGAAAAGAAAGAAAAACGTTGTACCTATATATGATATGAAGTTGGGAAGACGAGATCCGGTTGTTCTACTGACTATTTAATAGGTTATAGGTATTAGAAAGCTTCTAAAAACCCGTTTTTAAAGAGTGCCTCCTGAGGTCATACATATTTGATGACTTATGATGGACAAATGGTATTTCCATATATTGTCATAGCAACAGCATAATAGGTGACTCGGTTATTGTGCGTCGGTGGCACAGTGCTTAGGACTCTCGCCGACCATGCACATGGTCCGATCCCCTGTCGACGCACACCTGATATCTATGGTCGGCCTGTAAATTTTGGGCTACTGGTATCCATGCTGAAAATTCCATACTTGTACCAAAAATACAGTGTGAAATCAAGCTGTAATCAAAAATAAATAATTAATTTAAAAAATATTCTCAAATGTAACCTGGAGTGAAGCTAGTTTCATCAGATAATCAGAACACTGGAGACAATAAACCAACCAACCAGGTAACTACTACCACTACCATACATCCATACATTTTCAAAGAATCACATTGATAATTCAATCCAATAAAACCCACTACAACATTCCTATACACTACACATGTGAATCAATAAGCGTGCGTAGAGAAAAAGAATAACCGCCTTCTACATAAAGAAAAAATCAATTTTCTAACTAGTAGTCATGGTACTTTTTTGCTGCTGCAACAGCACGTTTTGTTGATAAATTATTTAGAGATTATAGGACTTAAAAAACAAAAGAAAAACTGAAGCAACGTGAATAACTCAGTTAAAAAAACGTTCTTGTTATAAAAAACAATATCAAATACACCCAGTCAATGTATGCACGCATGTACTTGGATTCTTCACACATATGTTTAAGAAAAAATGTTTTATAAAAAAAGCAAGTGCACGACTAGTGTAAAATTGAAAATGTTCTGATTTATGATTCCAGTGGCACTTTTTCAAAGTATGTTCAACACAACGTCAGATAGATAAGGCGGAAGAAAACAGATGGATAAACCAAAACATTCCGTCAATCAATGATATCTCCTCTAAAAACTGGTCTGAGCCAACCGCTTAAGGAGGTAGGTGTAGACTGTTTCCGTTAGGATCTATAAGATCGAAAATGGTGTGAGATTATTGCTGAATACGGTCCCACGGTGCCCTCTCTCTCTCTCAACAGTGCAGAGGCATTCACTTCTTTTAATTAATCCAGATCCATTAAAGTCATGTTTTTCTATGTTAATATTATCCCACAGGTTTGAGCTTAATTTATTTCTTTTCTCTACCTATGTGAGCTATATCGAGGAGTGACCTTAAGGCACATCCCATCCCAGCTAATTGTAGCGTCACTGTTGCTACAGTGATTTAATTGTTATATATTTTGCATACTTTTGAAGTGAAATTCTGTATTATAAAGCTTTTTCCTGGTGTGGCATTATATTCTTGAACTGTGTTACACATTTGCTGCACTTTTATCCGAAAATCTGGATTGATACTGATATCTGTGCAGTGTACTGGATTATAGGAGGAAGTAAGTGAAAAAGTTGAACGTATTTTTTTGGGATTTTCATGAAATCATGCTGGTGTATTTTGACCTATTTATTGAAACGCCCTAATACCCGTCGGATAAAGCGCGTGGTGTCACCTTAAAAAAAGGATATGCCGCCCTATATGGAGTGTGGCATTCTGAACTGCTGTAAAAAGTTCTGTCTTAAAACTCAGTCAGTAAATCAGGCACTGTTGGAAAGTTGTAATTATTGTGTATTCTTTCGACCGTGCGCATAGGCTTTTGTCATTCACTGACTACACTAATCTCCGGTTTATGCAACAGTTGCGCTCTACGCAAATTACGTGAGACAGAAGTCTACTATAAGTCTTTCGATGACAGCATTCTGACCACTGTGATTAGTAGCTGTAGGCCATGCAGTATGTAACGTGCTTCAAAGTCTCAGATGCAACAGTTTTCATGTCAATATCAACATGACACGTATTATAAGAGTCGTATGTTTCAAGGTTTTTTTTACTTCGTTTTAGCCATGGTTTGGGTTTCGTCTTTTTGCCAACAGCAATAATGTAGACTAGGTGAAGCCTAAGCCCACAATGTTCGGC